TAACTGCAGTAAACAAAGCAGCGCAGCACCTGATTTTGAAACTTGCAGTGCTCATATTTAATAAATGAAACTATTTAGAAGTGTAAGCTATATCTCTGTTTGTTTATTTATATATTTATTTTTTGCCAGAGCACCACCTGAGTTTTCTCCTCCCATGTATACCAATGATGCTTTCCTTCCCGTGTTACAACCTGCGCAGATATCAACAGCGCCAATGGGTTGTAGGTTGCCAAGTTGAGGTCACAAATGGGTTGAAATTTGTATGATTGTGTGAGAAGGACGAGTTTCATACAAGATCTGGCAACTGGACAACCTTGGAATATGTTGTGATTATTCATATAATGAGGTTTAGGCCATACAAATGATGGGAGATTTACCGGAGGTGAATACGGGAGAAATACGGGAGAAATATTTAAATGGGATGATAGCGGGATAGAATGGTAAAATACGGGAGAATCTCAGGAAAAACAGGGGGGTTAACAGGTATGTTTTAGTCATACAATGAAAGTCAGTATAGGGTCCAAAAACAACAATATTGGACTCCACTGACTTATGTATGGACAAAAACACTTAAGATATTCTTCAAAATATATTTGTTGTGTTCCGCAGATAAAAGAAAGTTTGGGAACAACATAAGGGTGTCTAAATGATGACAAAATTTCCATTTTTGGGGGGAACTGAAAGTATAATGAATAAATGAATCCTCTAGAGTTACACTGAGTGGGCAAATTTCCCAATGCTAATCTACTAATCTGACTGAATTAAGTAGTTTACTCAGCATCAACGATGATTTACAGAGGCCATTGTAATCAAGTTTCCTGGCATGGGCAGGCATGCATTTTTATTGTAATGAGTAATTCCAGAATGCTATCGGGGGAAACCACTGAGAAGATATAAATCACTTCAAGCATTTTGTTTTTGAAAGTGGAGTTGAAGTATGCTGAAGGATTTGGTTGACTGAACAGAGATAACCATATCGAATGAAAGAGAGACCACCTGAGGCACTGTATTGACTTAACAGCACACTTCCAAAGTGCAGAAAGATGTATGTATCTCCCACTGGGAGCAGCTTTCTGCTGAATATTCACTCAAAATTCATGCCCTCCTCCGTCTTTTTGACATTTTTTGGGCATTTGGGCCATCTCTGATATGCGCTGCATGGCAAAAGGCTTCTGCTGTGGGCCTCCTTTGCGCCTGAGGGAAAAGAGAGAAGCTTGACCTCCTTCACTGTGAAAACCATCTTCATTTTGTCTTTAAAAATTAGACATCCCCACAATAGACTGTCCTGGGGTCAGACTAAGAGCCAAACCACCAGTGTCTTGGCGGCTCAGTGGCCTCCTGGTCATTGATAAATCGTTTTGATGTTCTTCAGGCCAGCATGTCCTGTGGTGATCTGGCAAAGGGTGAGTAGTGTCTTGCAGTGTCTGTCTTTATCAATGTCAGGAGATGTGGCCAAAGAGGCTGTGGTAACCTTTGGGTTGACTGATGGCCTGAACATCTCCTTGAATTGCTTGTGCGTGAACCTCCTGAGGAACAAATAAACAAAGATGCTTTGTCCGTCAGTCAGGCCGTATTAGTCAGGTCAAGTGCATTTATTTATCAGTGCATGAAAATACAATGTGATATTATGAAACTAAAATGTATTTATTTAGTTATTATTATTATATTTTTTTCAAGTCTCTAAATATATTTTAGTCTTTTGTCCATTTTCAACTGATAAAATGGTTATATTTTTTTATATTATGTAACATAATTTAAATTTTAGATTTTACTGTAAGTTTACTTTTTAGTTTGAATCTATTAATTTATTCAAAATACATAAACATTCATACACAATAACCAAAATACACCTCTTGTAGGTTGCATGATTTTAATTTCTGAATTTAAATGTATATTTTTAGGTGACATAAATTGTTTTACTGATATCATAATACATTTATTATTGAATCAATTTTTGAGGGGATGCAATTCTTGAACAGAAAACTTGTTTTCTGAAAAAGTTTTGATTATTATTATTATAAAATCAATATTTTAAACTCAACTGCTTCAGTTCTTATTACTATTTAAAAACCTTTCTGTGTGTCGTGTAGTTAGACCAACAATGCTATGTGGTATAGCTCCCCAAAAATTATGACATTTATGAATAACAATTTATGATTTTTCATTAAAAAACAAAACAAACAGACCAGTAATAAAATCTATCTATCTATCTATCTATCTATCTATCTATCTATCTATCTATCTATCTATCTATCTATCTATCTATCTATCTATCTATCTATCTATCTATCTATCTATCTATCTATCTTATCTATCTATCTATCTATCTATCTATTGTATGAGTCGATAGAGACATGAGCTTATGATGATGATTAACATTGTAAGAGAAGTCAAAATTAATCACAAAAATGTATCTTTTTTTAATATAAGAGTATGGTATTAACAGAACTTGTAGTACAGTTTGCATTATTCACCTAATTTAATTTGCATTCATTTCAGCTTGTAATTTGGATTTATTTGTTGCATGCTAAACATAATCACATAAAAAAGGTTTACTGTAAGCAGAGATGAGGTATTATGTAGCCTATTTTATCCAATAATGTAAACTAACAAAAATAAATAAGAGAGAGGTGCTGGTGCGGGTGCCGTTGTGTGTATGTTGTATATTCGGTTTGAACAAGTCAGGAAGTTCCCAGCTCTGGGGGAGAAGCAGGGCTGAATACCAGGCTTTCCCCTCTACTGTCCCGGCTTTGTGCCCTCACCCCAGGCCTCAGTCCGCCGGCAGCCGCTAATCCAGTTTTGATAGCATTCATGGCCCCCCTCTGTGCCTTCCTGCCTGCCTGCCTGCCTGCCCGCCTCTTGTCATCAAGACACAACACACACACACACACACACTCACAGACACTTGCCAATGATTTAGATGCGCACACATGCACACATACACCACGATGGGATGAAATTATACCAAAATGCCTATGGTTGCATTTCTGTCTCTCAAAGTTTATTTTTTTTAATTCTCACTAACTCAATAGAAATGAACCCCTCAGTAATCTGAAATGGCACCTTAATTGATGAAAGCTGTCTGCTCCCAGCAACCTTGTGGCTAAAGAATAACCGCATGATGTAGCAGAAGTGGAACATATGAAAAGCTGAATTTAACCAATGTCCAACTTTCCTTGGTAATCGGCTCTTCTATGAAAAAAAAAAGGAAAAACAAGATGACTTCATTCAGAGCTTGTGTATTTACCATGTAATTTAGCGCAAATATAAAAAAGTGTGTATGCTTCAAAGCAGCAAATTATTAAATAGATGTCCAGACGTCATTTTGAACACATTCATGTTTCCTGTTTTGTTAGCCATGACAACTGTCTTAAAAAAGGAGACATTTTGTGAGGTCATAAAATGTAATAGCCTCTTTCTCTTCAAAAGAGATGACCACAATAAATGCCTCATTGTCTGAATTGTCTTCATAAGTGACAATAACTTGCATCTGACCTTCAAGGTCAGGAACCTTAAAGGAAAGGGTGAGTCAACCAGTGATATTATATTGATTTGCAAAGTCTTAAAAGTACGGAAGTTCTAAGCGGCCATGCATTATTATTTTTTTTCCTTCTTGTTTTCTCGTTATAACGACTTATTTTCTCGTTATATCGACATAACGAGAGTTGTTTTCTCGTTATAACGACTTATTTTCTCGTTATATCGACATAACGAGAGTTGTTTTCTCGTTATAACGACTTATTTTCTCGTTATATCGACATAACGAGAGTTATATAACGAGAAAATAAGTCGTTATAACGAGAAAACAAGAAGGAAAAAAATTATAATGCATGGCCGCTTAGAACTTCCGTATAAAAGGATACTTCACCATTAAAATTAATTATCTTCAAACCTGTATGCTGTTGTTTGTCTGCAAAACATAACAATTCAGAGGAATTTTTGAGGATGTTTCATGCAGCTCTTTTACAAACAATAGTTATGTTTCCATCCAAAGATGTGAGTTTAACTTGTGCGCAGAACTAGAATATTGCATAAAACATTTGCGAATAAAGCACCATTTCCATCCAATGAGTCAAAGAGAACAAAATCGTCACTTCCTGAAAACTGGCACTAAATATCACTGAATATAATATTTTTCCATATATTGCAAATTACTTGTGCCTCAGAGCGAGCAGACTAAACACATTAAATGCAGTCATTGCTTTCAGAGGTGGATGCCTGCTGTTTGGGAATGCAGTCATGTAAGACAGTTATACAGTTACATATAGTCAAGTTATCCCGTCCCATCGCGCAAAGTCACATGACTTTTTTGATGCGCATGATGGAATTTATTAGGTAAATGTGTTTCCATCGTAGTTTATGCACATATTTTCTTACCGGATAAAAAGTTTATCCTACTCAATTGAGAAAGTTTGAAAACATTGCATGTAGTACAATGCAATGTTCTTCGCATATGTTTTTTTATGTGCATTTTTTTTTAAATGTATGCGCATCTTGGTGTTTCTATGCAGCGTTTTTAATGCAATATTCCAAAATGTGCATAAAAATAGGTGGATGGAAATATAGCTAATAACAGCTCCAAAAAGAAAGAAAAAAAAACACATCAGGGTAGTCTATACCAAAAGTTTGGTTATTATGTAAGACCATGTTAGCAAATGCTGCTATAATAATGTATAATGTCATATATTTGTACAATGCTGTAATTACACACTTTGATGTATGCATTTTAGTCCCTATTACAGTATACGCCTTGAATGTGTGAAATCTTTGTGCAGGTACCTTAAACAAGAATATGCATGTAATTTTTCACTTTTATGATTTATATATTATAATAGTAACCATTCATTAATGCACCACACTGTCAGATCTAAATGTAAGAAGGACTTTCTCAGAGGCTTGTAATTGTAAATCTCATTGGCCTAATTTATATTTATGCAGAGTGAAATGTACTCATCCAGACGAATAGTCACTAAGCTGTATATATTTTTCTCTCTACAGGAATGCCAGCTGTTCTTGCTCTAGCTGGCCTGGTTCTGATGCTGCTCACCACAAGTGTCAGGTCTGAGTCGGCAGTGCTGAGGTTCCAGGGCCAGACTCAGTTTGTTGTAAATGAGAGCAGCAGGGCCATAGTGCGACTTGTGGTGGAACGAGTTGGAGATCCAGTTAATGTCACTGCTCTGGTTCTGGTAAGTTTAGGAAAACACTCTGCGTGAATGGTTAATCTTTGTCACTACCAGTTTTGTTTGATTTATTATACTGTATATGTAGCAAAACAGGTTTTTTTATTAAATTAAATTATTTCATTATTAGAAATAACTTTTTATATGTTATTTTTATATTTAGAAAATAACTACCAGTAAATCCATATAGTGTGTGTGTGCCTTGCAATGAATGAATGAATGCTCACACAGGGGTGAAATGCAGGGGACAGTAAAAAAAAAAAAAAGAAATTAAAAATTGTAAAAAAGAAACATTGTTTAGAGGAAAAAATTAATCTGTGTAAAACACTGGCTGACATTCCTGTGAAATAACAACAACAAAAAAAAAACTTTTAAACATTTTGTCTGCATTGCACTGGGTTAAATCTGTCAATGTCACCAGTGCTCCTGTTTCCACTGTTCCCTGAAAATAACCCACCTACAAGAGCATGATGAAAAAGAAAATGTCATAGGAAGCCGAGTGAAATACGTTTGATGTATTGAGGCCCCACAAAGTGCTTAGAGCTAACAGTGCTTCTGTACTGCCTGATGTGTTAATGCCTTAACAGCTGCTTGGGTCTCAACACCCAAACATCTGTCTGGTAAATCATAGCACTGCACATATGGCCATAATTAGCATAGAAACACAAATATGCCTACTGTCAAAACAGGCAGTGCCTGTTTAGCACGCATGGTTAGTGGGCAAGTGTTGCCGGTTCATTGAATGCCATGCATGAATTCACAGCAGAAAGAAGGATCTAAGAGCCTGTTTTGTAGCGGCTTACAGTGGGTGGCATCAAAGCATGCGCTAGAGGTGGCAGTTGTCAACCAGATGGTGCTGGTTGAGTTTAAGAGAGGTCAGGGATTTCCCATCTCACACTTTGAGATGTTTTATATAGAACTGTTTTATATAAAACACATCTATGATTTAAAAGAAATGTTCCCAAATCCCCAAAATAAAACAATTGATGACTGCTCTCATGCTCTTCTTTTCAAATCGATGTCCCGTGTTTATCCAGCTTCAGGGAGAGGACACTGGTGACTTTGAGGCCACAACTGCAGCTGCTTTTCTTCTGTCCTCTGAAAGCAGTAAAACCATCTTCATCGCTGTGAGGGACGATGACATGCCTGAAGCTGATGAGACCTTTGTGTTCAGCCTCCGCCTGCAGGTAATGCTTAAACCAGGAAACTGTTATAGCCCAGGGGTTAAAGATCTGTGCATATAATTGAAAGGGTTAGATTCAAATCCAGTAAAACATTTCTAACGTAAGTTTAAATTTAGATTTTATCTCACTTAAAGAGGTCATGAACTGCCTGTTTTTATTTTGTACTGTTCTCTGAGGTCCACGTATAATGTTATCAATATTTTTACATCGAAAAACATAATAATTTAGAAGTTATAGGCAATTTTCTGTCCTGTTTTTGGAGTCTGTCCTCGCTGCAGCCTGTAGCACGATGACGTACTGGACTATATCCACTACGTAGTGGATGTTTTACGCGCATGCGCTGTAGTAGGCCTCGAATAAATTCATATTTTTATTTACATTTAATCATTTTGCAGACACTTTTATCCAAAGCGACTTAGTCTAACAACTTAGTCTAAGTGAAGTCTAACGCAGTACATGTAGCAAGGGTTTTTGACCTACATTACAATACACGATGACCTACATTACAATGTAAAACCTTTCATGTCTAAATTCATCCACAAATTCATGTTTTTGTCTTTACTGGCGACTTCAAAGCTTTTTTTTTTTTTTTAGCCTGCATTTCACATGTTATCGCCAACATGCCCACATAGTGCTGTATCCATTATTATAAGGATACAGCAAGCACTGTAATGTGATTGATATGCAGACGTTACACTGTAAATAGCTCATTATTAAGATATGCATCACTCTGACAGAGTTGCCTAAATGTCTTTTTGATTGTATCCGTCATGTTTATTTAAATTTAATTGGAAATATTTAATGCTGATCCATTGTTTATTTAGATTTTATATTATTCATTATGACATTATGATGTCATACAGGTCCATACTTGGGAAAAAAAAACTTTCCAAAATGTATACGAACCCTGAAGGAATGTCTTTGGCTCAGAAATATTCAATCATACATCCAACTCGTTTTCTGAGACTTGTAAGCATTGGCTAAGTGATCAAATTACTACCTTTTATAATACAGAGTGTTAACTTTTAATGCACACATTTTCGTTGTTTTTTCATCACCTCTAATTAATGAGTTTCAGATGTGTCTCTGTATGTGTGTGACAGAGACAGAGAGTCTTCTTATACCTCTATGCTTCCTCAAAGTAATGTCTCAGTAGTGGGAATCCCAGAGGGGTTGAAATTCTTGCTTGAGTGGAACAGCACTGGAATCTTGTCAACTCTTCAGCCACAGCTCAATGGCCCATAAGCCCTTGCATTTTCTTTGATGGCTTCCACTATCTCTGTATAAGGGTTAGGTAATGTCCCTGCACTAGCAGCCCAATATTGGAAGTCACCTTCAAGCGAAATAACCAACTGTGACAGCCACAACTGGCACTGCCGTAAGATTAAAGAGCCATTATGCAAAGCTAATCACTAGAAGAAAAGCAGAGACCTGGAAATAAGCTTCCTATAACACGCAAAGAAGAAGAATCTCATAGGAGCTTAATTTATGCACTACCAACAGCACCAAACAGAATTGCAAAAAATCACACATTTCTAAAAAAAGGTTTCACACAGGTTTTATGCCATTAGCTGAAGCCAGAAGTTGACATATTAGAATGCTTAACCAAACAGTCACTGGGTCTCATTAATTAATAATTGCATGCATTATTTGTATGTATACTCACAGGAGAACTTCTCACAAAAAAAAACAACCTTAATCTGCCTAATTCACAACTTGTGCACACATGAATTTGTTCTTGACCTTGTTCTAATGTTAATGAATTTAAATTATTCTAAATTATAAACTGTGTGCCTAGTAATTTGCATAAAACACACCCAAACCATCTTCATGAAATATCCTTAAAATGTCCTATAAAATTGTGGTAACACTTTAGTATAGGGACCAATTCTCATGATTAACTATTTGCTTATTAGCATGCCTATTATTAACATTTTGGCTGTTTATTAGTACTTATAAAGCACATATTCAGCATGTCCATATTCTACATCCACAATGCTACCAAATACCTAAACTTAACAACTACCTCACTAACTATTAATAAGCAGCAAATTAGGAGTTAATTGAGGCAAAAGCCATGGTTAATGGTTTGTTAATAGAGAGAAGTGGACCTTAAAAAAAGTGTGATTTGAAAAATTGTATCGGTGATCTGTGATTTTATAAGGTGATCGAGAGTATGTGATTTTTAAGTATTTGTGGTTTCAGTTGTTCCTATATTCTTTTTTTTGTTGTAAATTTAGAATCAATTTTAGTATGAAAGTTATTGATATATCATGATTTGTTCACATGCACATTTCCTGCACAGATCTGTGTGTACGCATGATTAGTAAATGAGACCCACTGTTTAGAAATTTGAGGAGAAATCAACCTACAATGGGTTACTTTGTCATCTCAATAAAATTAAACTGAGATGAAGGAGGTATGACACTCGTCACATTTCTGTGTTGTTTAAGGAAGTGTTTCTCATAGCAGTTTCTCATTTGAGGGCCTCTTATTACTGTGCTGTCTCAGTCTGTTGACAGTGAGTGATTAATGACAACAGGTCACGACTCCACTGTCTACTTGTCCACTGTTTAACAAATGAACCTCAGGCTGGCAGAATGGGACAACTTAAGGGTGACAAAAGACCACTGAAACCCAATGAAACCCAATCTGAATTCACTGAAAGGAAATCTAGACAGTCCTTAAGTGTGATTTACATAAACCATATGCTAATTATTGATAAAATGATGGGCGAAAGAAACATGTTTTTTTTTTCATTCTGTATTTCCTGTGCTCCATTATCTCACTCATTGTTTTATTATGACAATCTAATCTAAAAAATGCTTGTTACTGAGGGAAAAGGAGGAAGAGTGTTTGTGTGCTGTGGTACTGAGCCGAACCTCAGTCACGGTTAGCGTGGGCAATTGTCTGAACGTGTGTATTCCTTGTCTGTTTTCGCACTGCAACAAGAGCTCTGCAGGTGAAAGAAAGCTCTGTTACAGCTGGGAAAAGCTTATTTGAAAGGGTTGCTGAAAAAATGGTCCATACTGGTTTACGTTCTTACATGGTCATGCTCTGTTTATCTCTTTTTGTGCTCTGTATCACAGACACTTATACACTCTAACTACAATACGTTTAATCTGAAATTCAAATTAGTGCATTTATGATGGCATAAAAAGTATGTGAAATGGATTTCTGCTTGAATGTTTATATAATTTGGATTTTGATAGCAATAGACAAGTTATAATATATTGATAGCTCTAACCAAGCAATGCTTTACTTTTTCAGAGCTCATCAAATGGTGTGACAGTGGGAACTCCAAATACTGCCACCATCACCATCTTGTCTAATGACAATGCCTTCGGAATAATTTCCTTTAACTCGGTAAGTTTCTTTCTCCGTTATTTCTTCAATGAACAGCGGGAAGAATCTGTTCAGAGCGTGCTGAAGAGGGTTGACTGTATGCCTGAACTGTTTTCACTTATTTGTGGGAGGGGGGAGGGGTAAATAAACTCAAGGGAGTGGGAAGAGGTTGTCAGTGGATGGGAAAGTGAGATTGAGGGGAGTGTTGTGGCTCAGATGCCTGAGAGGAAAGGTTGCTGAGATGGGAGTTCAGGGAAACTACGGAGCTGCTAAGAATTTGAAGAAAAAAGGCAAGCAATTTACTGAATGGATTAGCTGGTTAATGATATATATTTCAATGTTGTTATGGAAACCAACTGCTCTTTTTTTACCATTACAAATTTTTTTTTTTAAATATTTATAAAAATTAAAAAATATGTATTATTATTTGTTTGCAAAGCAATAAATAAACAAATAAATTAATAATAGTCCCTGGTGCTGGCTTGATTTCACTGAAAGCCTTCTCTGCTATTTAAATATTCAGGTTTGCTGAGATCAAATTGGCTGTCATGTTTTGAAAAGCAGGGTTTTGGTAAATAAGGTGTTTTTATGTTAGCAAAATAGTGGAAGTTTATTCAGTAACATCGCTTTACATTTGCATTCCTTTTAACTTACAGTCATATAATGTTGTTTCCTATTAATGTTTTATAAACTGTATGAATATTTATGCATTGTTAAATTTCTAAATAAAGTACTTTGACTGTATATATTATAGGGCACTGGTGTCCATTCCTGCTCCTGGATGTCCACTTTCCTGCAGAGTTTAGCTCTAGCCTAACTGACTAGGGCTGCATTTAATATGCATACTTCCCTACTATACAGTATGACCAAATTTATAGTATTTGTGAAACAGTAGGCAAAAAGGATGACATAATGACATAATACTTATAAGTGTGCATTCACACTGTACTATCCCATGAGGCCACGGAAGAGGAGTTCTTAATGTTAGTGAAACAATACAGCTGAAGCTGTAAGTCACATGGAAATGTAGGATGTCCAGATTACATTCATGCTATACACATTCATACTATATAGAATAATCATTGACGCTCACAAAGTACTATTTCAAAGTACCTACTTGGAGAGGATGCCAGAACAGACATAGTCTAAGTGTCTTAATAATTCTGAAGTCTGAGATTAGTTGGTTCGGATGTGTTTATTTAGGGTTATAGCTAAACTCTACAGGACCTTGTCACTCCAGCAGCAGGATTGGACACTCGTGGTACATGACGTCTCATCTTGTTTCTGATATCCCTCATTTCTAATTCTGTCAGTACATATGTAAATCAGTGAATTATGTTTTTTTCTCTCTCTCTGTTTAGACCTCCCTAATTACTGTGGAGGAGCCAAGAGGTAGAAGCCAGTATGTGCCTCTCACTCTCCTTCGAGAGAAAGGAACCTATGGTACTGTAACTGTCAACTTTGAGGTGAGCATTGCCAGACAGTTTGTAACTCTGCTTAAAAAAAGATCCATCCATCCATCCTTAATTATTTATTAATTCACAGATTTTTGGAGGTCCAAACCCTGCAATTGAGGATCTCAGTCCAGACATGGGGAACATCTCTATTCCTCCTGGTCGTGCTGTTGTAGTTTTCAGCATCATGATACAAGATGACAAGGTACGGTTTCTTTGTTAAATAGACATAAAAGAGATCACATGAATAATGATAGCTTAAAGTTAATGTGAAACCAGTTTTTTTCCATAATGTGGCATATTTCTTAGAGCAGTGTTTCCCAACCGGGGTGCCGTCTGTTGAGAGCAGGGGTGCCGTGTAAAAAAAATCATATTTAAATATTTTTAAATTGCTAAAATGTTCAAAAAAGCATCTATTATATAATATCCATTTCTGATGTCGCCAATAATTAGAGATGCACCGAAATTTCGGCTGCCGAAAATTAGTTCACCGCTCAGGATTCACTTTCACGTGGTGTGACGTTCTGCGTATTATCCCGCTCTATGCGTGTGGGCGCTCCGCTCAGTCGCTCCACTCGTATACCGTTCATGTGAATTGGAACAGCAAAGTCCTACTGTAAAATTTAAAAAACACTGAGTGAGCAAAAATTTGTGAGATAGCTAGTTATAATGGTAATTAAATAATGTTTACATATGTATAAAAGCCTACATTAAAATCTGTCATATAAATTGGTCTCTTCATTAGAAATTAGCCTACTGATTGCCACCACTGATGAACAATTCTTTTTAATAATATTAAAAATATCTGTATGACATTATATTCTGCAGTTCTTCCCTGTTGTACCGAATATCTATACTTTTCAAATTATCATATCGAAGATAGAAATGTAAATATTTTGACAAAATTAATTTTGTAAGGTGCCACAAGTTTGTTAAAATTTCCAAAGGGTGCCGCGACTGAAAAAAGGTTGGGAAACACTGTCTTAGAGGAAAGAAAAATATTGATTAATGATTTATAGTCAGAGAAAAAAACTGTTCCCAAGTAGATTCACAATAAGTTAATGACTAAATGAACATAGAAGATGTTCTGCATTAATCTATCATAACATGTGTTGTTTTTGATCTCACATGTCCACTAGCTTCCAGAAGATGATGAGATCTTCACAGTGCGGTTGACAGAAGCAGCTGGCGGAGCTTTAATTGATCCTAACAGAAGCAGTGTGCAAATCAAGATCTCCCGTAATGATGCTCCCATCCGCTTCTCCAAACCCACACTGGTTGTCCCGGAGAACATTGGTGTAATTTCTCTTAGCATTACACGTGGTAGAACTGAGGATGGTCTTCTGATCGGTTCTGATGACAGAACGGTGTCTGTGACCTATACAGTCATTACAGGCAATGGGGCGGCCAGTGCTACTCCACTGGCAGACTTTGTGGATCTACAATCAGAGAGGATGGTTGTTTTCCCTCCAGGTGTCCATGAAACAGAACTCCGCTTCAACATTAAAGATGACACCATTCCGGAGATTGCAGAATCTTTCCAAGTGGTTCTTTTGGAAGAGAACTTATTGGGTGATGCAGTGCTGATGACTCCAAGTGTTGCACTCGTGACCATTGAGCCCAATGATAAGCCTTATGGAGTCCTGTCAATCAGTCCTTCCCCCATACAACCCCACATCATCAATGAAGACCTGAATCCGATGTGAGTATGTTTAAAGCAGAAATATTCAACCCTGTTTCTGTACACCCACTGTCCTACAGCGATTTGCTCCAGCCCTAATCAAACACACATGAACCAGCTTATGAAAGTCCTCAGGATCACTTGGAAAATCACAAGCAAGTGTGTTGGAAATGAACTTTGCAGAACAGTGGTTCTCCAGGAGCTGGGTTGAAGACCTGGTTTATAGTGTTATAACACTTGCATTAACAGGTCATTATTTAATTAATAGTGGGTAACTTGTCTTGGTTATAAATCATAGTCCTTCTATCCTATCCCAAATGCACATGGCAGGTTGGCACTCTTTCTGAAATCATAAATTGTTCCAAAAAATTGTTTAAAAAATGATAAAATTAATGAATATAATATATGAAGAGTTAATTAGCAAAAACAGATAACTCGGTTTTTAACTATTGTTTTTTCATTGTGTATTCCAAATAATCTCAATCAAACTACAGTTGAGTTATTTTGATTAGGTAAAAAATAACTACAAATACAGCTAACACAATAAAAATATGACAAAAAACATGATTTTTGAGAATTATCTGCTTTTGCAAATAAACTCTTAGTATGCATATATACAGTACCATTCAAAAATGTGGTCAGATTTTTTAAATGTTCTTAATAAAAATTATCTTATGCTGACCAAAACTGCATTTATTTGAACAAAAATACAGTAAAACAGTAATATTTTGTGAAGTCGTGGCCTAATGGTTAGAGAGTCGGACTTGTAACCCAAAGGTTGCGGGTTCGAGTCTCGTACTGGCAGGGATTGTATGTGGGGGGGAGTGAATGTACAGTGCTCTCTTCCACCTTCAATACCACGACTGAGGTGCCCTTGAGCAAGGCACTGAACCCCCGACTGCTCCTCGGGCGCCGCAGCATAAATGGCTGCCCACTGCTCCGGGTGTGTGTTCTCGGTTTGTGTGTGTTCACTGCTGTGTTTGTGGCACTTTGGATGGGTAAATGCAGAGCACTAATTCCGAGTATGGGTCACTATACTTGGCCACATGTCACTTCACTTAGTTAAATATTGTGAAATTTTGTATTGTTACAGTTTGAAATAACTGTTTTCTATTTTAATATTGTTTTTGGTGATGGCAAAGCTGATTACTCCAATGTTCAGTGTCATATAATCCTTCACAAAGCATTCTAATACTGTATGATGATTTGCAACTCAAGAAATTATTTTAAATTATTATATCAATTTTGAAAACTTTTAATATCAAAAGAGCATTTTATGAAACATTATAAATGTCTTTACTGTTACTTTTGATCAGTTTAATGCATCCTTGCTGAATAATATTAATTTACTGACCCCAAACCTTTTACCAGTAGTGTATGCTATATAAGATATCATAAATTATAATTACTGTAGAAATGCTGGTATCATTATTCAGTTTTCAGCTGGTATTTTGTCTTTTTTGTGTGGTATTTCATTTTTAGTAATGTCAGATACATTACTTGTGCTGGTAACTGGTCATCCTAGTCTGGTTTAGCACAGACTTAATACGAATCTGATTAGGTGTTGGCGTTTCTGAGTGAGATTCATTTTTTTTATGTTGTTATCCACAATATCTGTAATATCTCTAATCTGTGTTTCTCTGTTTCAGATACGAAGGCATCATCATTGTGAGGAACGGAGGAACTCATGGAGCTGTTTCAGTTAGGTGGAATATAACAAGAAACTCCACGGATAGGACTCCAGTCTCTGCCGACCTTAATCCTGCATCAGGTACCCTGAGGTTTGCTGAGGGCCAGATGAATACTGTGCTGCCTTTAAATATCACTCAGGACAACCTTCCAGAAGAGGCAGAAGCCTTCATCCTCAGACTGATCCCAGGATCTGAACAAGGAGGGGCCGAAGTGGATGAGCCGATGGAAGTGAGTGCTTGGCTTGTGATTGGTTTTTAGTTTAATGCATTTAGAGAATGTGTTTGGATTGCAGATCATAGATCGGTGGTGGATTTAGTTATGAAAGATGAAAGTGCAAGTTGACGTTGATGACAGCTTGAAGCGCTCTCTTTAATTTTTGGAAGGAAAATGTTATTATTCATAATGTGCCCGGGCACTGGTTGTCTTACATGTTGACATGTCACCCACTATGATGATATTCTAGACTTTTATGCTTAGTTTCAGACAGCCATGGTAGCAGATCCCTTTTGGACCTCACTCTGAGGCTTGTGGTGAGACATCCAGGGAGGTTGTTGTCTTACTCTGGCTCATACTCCTCGTCAAGGAAGGAAGTTCCCAGATCAGAGCTGGTTCTTAGTTACCATCTGGGCAGCACTTAGTCCGTTTAAAGCGGATGTGGCGTAAAATGAGACACATGTGTCTCTCTGGCACAGCGGCATCACAGACTGCTGGCTACACTGAGTGTCACTTGGGTGTTCCCTTCATGTGGTCCCAGCACAAAATAGCCCACAGCAGAGCCTGTGGGTGGCTGGGTGTTCTCTTTATAACTTGTCTGTTGCGAGTTTGATTATGTGTGGAAGCAGAGGATAAATCCGACCCGAGTTTATGTTTAAACCTATCAATTACCCATAAGTGTGATCATACGTTTAGGATAGCTGAATTGACTCTGCAGGATGTGACGACTAATTGTGAAGAGCTTATTTATATCAGCTGTTCCTAAATTCACAGAAAAAAGTACTACAAATATTTAGAGAGATCTTGTGCCTTGGTCTGATGAGGCTTGGGTAAATGACAGAGTCATAAACTAGCTCATGAATGCTATTTTTACACTCTTGTGAGGTCTAATGAAAGAGAAGGGCTTTCTGTGATTGGTTCACTGTAAGTTTTACACAGATAGTCTAATGTTACGTTCACTGTAATGAGTGGTGAGATTTGTTTATTGCTATGTGTTACAGGTTTCAATATAGAGAGGAAAAGATCAGGTTATTTTAGAGTTCATCACAAGAGGAAACATTTTAAAGCAATGCTTTGGTTGCAATGGGTTTTTTTCTATTAAAAGCATCTGTAATTTTTTCCTCAATGTTATGGTTGAAGTTACAAAACAAAACGTTTACAGTAATTTGTTTTCATTGGAAATCTGGGCAAGACAGTTCAGAGGATTTGAAATGTCAGAAATGTGTAAATGTTTTGTGCGAGTGAACAGAAATGTGCTTGTAATTTTGTTAAATAGTTTATATTTTTCCATTCAAAAACAGCTTTATGTGAGCGTAACGTAACCAATACATGAGCTTTGAAGTTGTCTAAGTCCTCTTTTTGGCAGTGGGACTGCAGTATTAGGAGAATTAACCTCTAGTTGTGCAATACCAATGTATAATCCTTAAAGGGATGCGAAAAAAGAGCATTCTGTCATTTACCCACCTTCATGTCATTCCAACCCTGTATGACTCTTTCTGTTTGTTTTGGCAATGGAAGTCAATGGTCACCAAAACTGTTTAAATACGAACATTCAATACAAATATCTTCTTTTGTGTACGACATACTTCCAAAACATTATGCATGTTAATGCATATTCTGAAGAAATTTCATGCCCCATAAGTGCATTACTGTAGGTTCGGTTGCTGAAACAACCTGAAAGACGAGTAATTGAAATGATTGTTTAATCGTCTGTAACCTTCCTGTAAGGAAACCTGAAGTCAATATGTTGTTCTTACTTCACAGATGGTGTTCTTCATTCAGGACAGTGATGATGTCTATGGTCTATTTGGTTTTCATCCAAGAGAGAATCAAAGTATTCAGAGTCAACCAGAGGGACGCTTCCTGTCGCTTAGTTTCCTCAGAGAAGGGGGGACCATGGGAGAGGTGCGACTTACCCTATCTGTCCTCTACATACCTGCCAGACCACTGGACCCATCACGAGCCAGGGATGGGGTGCTGAATGGAACAAGTGTCAACAGTGTGCTGTTCAGTTCCGGTCAGTCACGAGCTCAACTCATCTTGCCAATACGCAATGATGCCTTCTTGCAGAACGGGGCTCATTTCCTGATTCAGGTAGGATATGTTTGTGAAAAAAAAAAAGTAAATTGAGGTTTCTGAGGTTTGAGGTGAAGCTTCTTTTATGATTTTTTTTAAATAACTGAGGCCTGCTATCTAAAAACATAATCAGTTTTTTGTTCATTAATTAGCAATGGTGCGATGGTTTACACTACACTTTAAAAGTTTGGAGACAGTATGTGCTGTTCAGTTCCGGTCAGTCACGAGCTCAACTCATCTTGCCAATACGCAATGATGCCTTCTTGCAGAACGGGGCTCATTTCCTGATTCAGGTAGGATATGTTTGTGAAAAAAAAAAAGTAAATTGAGGTTTCTGAGGTTTGAGGTGAAGCTTCTTTTATGATTTTTTTTAAATAACTGAGGCCTGCTATCTAAAAACATAATCAGTTTTTTGTTCATTAATTAGCAATGGTGCGATGGTTTACACTACACTTGACAGTAAGTTTTTATTATTATTATTATTATTATTATTATTATTATTATTATTATTATTATTATTATTAAGAAATTAGTAATTTTATTTATTATGGCTGCACTAAATTGATCAAAGACATTTGTAATGTTCCAAAAGGTTTGTATTTCAAATAAATGATGTTATTTCAAGCTTTCTATTCATTAAAGTATCCTGAAAAAATATTAGCCAGTAAAAGTTTTCAACCCTGATAAGAATAAGAAATGTTTCTTGAGCACCAAGTCAGCGTATTAGAAAGATTTCTGAAGGATCATGTGACACTAAAGACTGGAGTAATGGCTGCTGAAAGTTAAATCACTGGATTTAAATTGTATTTCAACATATAGGGATAGTTCACCCAAAAATGAAAATTAGTCCATTATTTACTCACCCTCAAGCCATCCTATGCATATATGACTTCCTTCTTTCAGATGAATCCAGTCGGAGTAATATTAAAAATTGTCTTTGATCTTCCAAGCTGTTTAATGGCAGTCAGCGGGTGTTGCAGTTCATCAGTCCAAAAGAAGTGAAATAAAGCGCATACATCCATAATAAAAAGTGCCTCACACGGCTCTGGGGGGTGAACAAAAGCCTCCTGTAGCGAATCGATGCGTTTTTGTAAGAAAAATATCCATATTCAAAACGTCATAATCACTTCAATCTAGCTTGCGGCAACAGTTGTACATGAAAGCAGCTCTGGGTGGATGACGTATGAGTTCAGCGTTGCGCATGCGCCGGTGAGTCTCGTGAAAAGCAACGTTTGTTAACAGGAGCAAAGGAAGCAAAGATTCCTTACTTTAGCAAAGTAAAAACAACATGTGCCCGGAGCTGCTTCCGTGTACAACATTGAGCGCAAGCTAGATTAAATTGATTATTACTTTTTAAATATTATTTTTCTTACAAAAACGCATCAATTCGCTACAGGAGGCCTTTTTTTCACCCCCCCGGAGCCATGTGAGGCACTTTTTATTATGGATGGATGCACTTTATTTCACTTCTTTTGGACTGATGCACTGCAACACTCGCTGACTGCCATTAAACAGCTTGAAAGATCAAAGACAATTTTTAATATAACTCCAACTGGATTCGCCTGAAAGAGGAAAGTCATATACACCTAGGATGCCTTGAGGGGGTAATTCATGGGCTATTTTTCATTTTTGGGTGAACTAACCCTTTAACACAGATTACAGTTATTTTAAATTGATTTAATATTTCACATTATTACTGTTTTTACTGCATTTTTTATCAAATAAATTCAGCCTTGGTAAGCATAAGTAAATTCTTTCAAAAACCATAAAAAAGTGTAAGGCTTCTGGCTTGTCACAGGATTTATGTTGTCTTGTTGATTAAAGGTGCAATAGGTGATTGTCTGGTTGAAAGTCTCTTCACATCCCGATAGCAATCATTAAGTTAAGTGGTCTAAATGTATTTATCTGTATTTATATATTCTGTGGATGGCGTAGGACCAATAAATGTTCGTCCAATTAAAATGCTCGGACCGAGCGTTTTGATTGGACGAACATTTCTTGGTCCTATGCCTTCCACAGAATATATAAATACAGTTTCCTATCTGCCTGTCAACATATGTATTAGCATACCTCTGCGCACCCTGTTCGCGCAGACAGGATACGTCATCAGCGAGTTCACGCACACTGTGCAGACAGAGCAAGTATGGCAGACAAACATCAACATCCCCATCTTCCTTCCTGGTATTGTAGTACTTTTACTAACTGTACTATAAAGTTTTCTCACCGGTGAATGACATATGATCATGATGTAGCCCAGCGGTTCCCAATTCCAGTCCTTGCCCCCCCCGCCCCCCTGCATATTTTGCATGTCTCGCTTAGTTAACACACCTGATTCAGATAACCAACTCGTTAGAAGGTGCATGAACCAATTCCAGTCCTTGCCCCCCCCGCCCCCCTGCATATTTTGCATGTCTCGCTTAGTTAACACACCTGATTCAGATAACCAACTCGTTAGAAGTGAGCTACGTGCATGAACTGTGTTCCGAATTGACATGCTCCCTACACATTGTTCTTTGCTCCCTACTCGCTGAGCTGGGGAAATCCATTGAATTTGAAGTCACGGATTTGAACTGTGCAGCATCTTCACACACAGATGAAGCTTACTAGAGAAGTGTGAAGTGTGACATAATATACCTCTGTAAATAAATACTATTTAAATTTATGTCTCGCACACTTTACGGAACATACATGGCGGAATATACGGTGATGTCCACTTCGCAGGGCACTTATGGTTGAATAGAACAAACATCATCTCTGGTATTCTGGTCTGTGAGCATATATGCATTCAGGGGGTGTGGCTTTGGACGGCGATTGCAGGGAGGGTGGGACGTTCGCTTTCAGTGCTATCAGGCTAAAGTTAGCATTTTCCAAGATCTGCACCTTTAAGTGAAGCATTACAAGAGCCCTTGAAAAAGAGCAAACATGCTCTCATTGCATCTCAGAAGAAGATGACCAAGCATGTGAAGTGCTTGTTTGACAGGCAGAGCAGTTATTGCAGTTATTGTTATAATTGCAATCAACATCAAGCTTTCAAAAAAGACGCGGCACGTGCCATATTTTCCAATTATTCTGCGGGTACATGATAATAGGGTTTGGTGAGAAGCGAACTTGAGACCAATGGCCAAGTCACGATTGTTCATTAAATAATATGTTAAAACATACTATTTAACAACTCTGGAATACTGTTGTGTCTTTTTTAAAAGCTTGATGTCGATTGCCAAAAATTGCCATTATATGGACAATCACGCACAGGACTGTCCATATAATATATAAAAAAAAATATCCAAAATGAGAAAGAAAGGGCATACAGTATTTGAACAACACAAGGGTAAATGACACAATTTTCAGTTTTGGGTGAACTATCCCTTTAAAAGAATTTAACATTTCCAACTGACAGTTATTGTTTGCTTTTTGAAATTGTTAAAAACAGTTGTGTTAACAGGTAATGGATTCATGTCTTTCATTAGTTGGACAGTGTGCAGTTGGTTTACATCTCCCCACAAATCCCATCTGTGAGTCCTCGCTTTGGAGGAGCTTTGAACATCTCCCTGATCATCACACCGGATATTGCTAATGGAGAGATTGGCTTCACCAGTAATCAGACAGTGGTGGCGCTGGAACCAGAAGATTCAAACATCAGCTTGGTATAAAACACTTTCCTGGACAATTTTTTCTTTACATATTTCAAAATTCAAAATTTAAATATTTAATTTGGTCTTGGAAATCAGGAAAAAAACACATTTTAATATGGTCTCAGTCTTTTGTATCCTACTGTATTCTTGGATGAAGAAATTATGTGAAAAATGATGATGTGAAAATTATTCTCTCTGTCTCTAGATAACTCTTCAACTGAGGCGAGATGGGACGGATGGCCAGGCAGTGGTCTTCTGGAGTCTGCGGCCCACTGGCGAGAACAGAGAAGATGTCACTGAGGGTGACATTTCACCTTTCACTGGATCGGTCAGGTTCCTCTCAGGACAAAGTGAAGCAGTGATTAACATCACTGTAATGGCGGACAATATCCCAGAGATCAATGAGACCATCATTCTTACATTAGACAGGTCTGTTTAACTTGTTATAATGACATTGAGATGTTTTAAAGGGTGATTTAAATCCAAATACTTTTTGGATCCATTATATTGTATGGTGGATCAAAGTGTTGGTTGCCTTCTGAAGTTTTACCTGATGACCCCTTTCAGTCTTTTCCTTTAATCTGGGAATTATCTTGTAATCATTGTGCTGGGACACTCTTTGTCCTCTCTTCACTCTTCCTTTGCAGGGTAGAAACCGCTCGCTTTGTAGTGTACTTCGGGTAAGTGCGTACTAGAAAGACTGTGCCTTATTGTGTGCTGTGAATCAACTCTTTATGTGGAAAGCATCCACTCTGAACTTTCAGGGGCTCTGTCTTAAGGTTTCGATGGGGTATGTCTCTTTTATCTGGGTGTGTGAAATGAATAGTAAGAGTGTGTTTGTATATGTTAGGGGTGACCACACTTGGATGCAGGCAAACGCTGCTTGTACTCATTTAGCACCTCATTTACGGAGTTCCTTTATCCTGTCCTGTAAAAACATCAGTGTTTGTATGCATGCAGCACATCCTCTGAATGCATTTGTTTAGAACACTTCTCCTACAAGCTCTTTGTCAGCCATTTTACTAATTATCTGGAGCCTTCAGTGCTGGCTCAGACCAAGCCAAGCTCGGTTTATAAACAAGACCCCTGCTGAGAAGGGAGGATAGTGGGTTGCTCTAAAACATGACTTGTCAAATCAGCATAACCAAGAGGCATTAGGCCAAGCTATTTGAGACACTTTCAAATGCTGGCGTGACCACACTCATGCTTATCCAAAATATGAATCTGGCAAATAATTTGTCATAGAATACTGGTAATCATTTTCCCTTATATCATGCATTTTATGTCATATAAATCAGCCCATACTGCTTAAAACAAAATATGATAGTGCATTATAATCTACCATACTGTAATATATCATAGTAGATTTTTTTCTGCTTTCTAATAATATAACTTCACAGTGTGACCAAACTGTAACATATGATTGTCACCATATTGCTGTACAGGACAAATGTGGACAACCAGATACTTAAACCGGGTTTCACTAGCCGAGAAATTGTTATTCTGGAGAACGATGACCCTGGAGGAGTATTTGAGTTTTCACCAGTCTCTAAAGGACCTTGGTTTATCAATGTAAGACATACTTCATTTATTCATTCATTCAGATTACATTTTCTTTATTTTCTTATTTAAAATTATTTTTATTGAATTATTAATATTTTATAATCATTTTAAAATTAAACATCAAGATTTTAAGTTCTAATTTTATGAATATATGACTGTATACTTTGTAAATGGTCACCAGTATAATTAGTATAATATAGTCCCTATTTTCATTCATCAATAGTCAGTAGTCATACAGATTGACAAATTCATTAAATGTTAAATAGAATATTAAACTAATAGACTATTAAACAGACTGTAGTACACTGACCATTGACAAACACATGACAGTTATATTTTCAGAAAAATTATAACTTAAAATTTTAATTTATAAAATCTTAATGTTGAAAATACTAAAAAATACAGAATAAATATTATGAATATTTTTTTTATGTATGTGTAAACAAACACCAAAATGTAAAATGATTTTAAATGGAGTTTAGCATGTAACTCTCTTTTATGTTTTTCATTGCATTTACTTGAACATGTGACATGTTTGGATGATTTGTTGGCTATGCAGGAGGGGGAAACAGTTGAACTGAGGGTGATCAGAGAGCAGGGGCAGCTGTTAAACCAGCTCATAAGATATACAGTGATTCCTTCTGGAAATGCTCAGTTCTATGGGGCCACGGGGATCCTAGAGTTCCAGCCAGGGGAGAGAGAGGTGATGGTGGCGCTGGTAGCCAAGCCTGATGGGATACCAGAGGTAAGTACTCAGGACTAATGATTAAGGCTCACTAACATTTATTATAATAATAAATGTCCTCTAATTAAATGACCCTGTGTTACATGAAGGATGATCTACATAGTTCCTTACTTCCCTTAATGTTAGGATTGCTTTAACACTTTTGAAAAAATTCAAAATTTAAGTAAACCTGACTTCTAAAAGATTGTCTGATGTTTTGTCTTCAGCTAGATGAGACGTTCTCAGTGGTCCTTAGTAGCCACAGCACACCAGCTAGTCGCCTTGGGAACCGAAGGCAGGTCAGCATTACCGTGCGTAAGAGTGATGACCCATTTGGGGTCATTGAGTTCATTCAGCCTGGCTTAGACTTCACCATCAATGAAAGCAAAGCCATGGATACTCAGTCAGGTACGGAGATCTATAAGCTACAGCTCCTGGTCACTTAACTTTCTTTTCTTTTAGAATCTGTTTAAAATAACATCATTATGTATGATAGCATCCTACCCCATTGGGAGAAGCAGGGGTAGGTTTGGGAACGTGTCAGTCTTCTGGATTCTTGAGCCAACCTATTCGGGAGACATCAACCCAGTGCGGGGTGAGATCGTCTTTGCTGAAGGGGAGTATCTGAAGAACCTCACCCTATTTTCTATGCCAGATGAGGTAAGCTTTAGCAGTTCATAATATCATAAGTAGATACTTATGTTTAAAGGAGAAGCATGTCTGTAGTACAGATTCATTTTTTGTTTGATGCAGATCCCAGAGAAAACTGAAAATTTCACCATCACCCTTCTGAATACAACGGGGGGAGCAAGACTAGGAAGCATTCTCAGTGCAAGCTTAAGCATTCGTGAGAATGATGATCCAATATATTTTGCTGGTATGTTTGTCATTCAATACAATGTACTTATTAATTTGAAGACAAAAGGGGCTTTCGCACCAGAAGAACCTTTTCATAGTTCCTAGAACTATTGGTGGAAGTTCCCGCTTTTTGGCATGTTCGCATCGCAGGAACTAGGACTGTATTTAGTTCTAGGAACTCCGTTTGGGGGAACTAAATTAGCTCCTACTTCAGAGTAGGGTCTAAAACAGTTCTATAGGAGCTACCAGTGACGTAAGTGTACGCTGATTGGCCAAACGCATACGAAACACCAGCCACCCAGCAATTTTAAAAAGCCGTGTACAAATATTTACTCCACGAACATGGAAAACATTTGCAAATTTGTAAATGCCGCGAATAAAGACATCGCTGTTAGCCGCTTCAGAGTTCCTGCTGCCGGTGCGAATGCAACCAGGAAAATGGTCCGAGGGAGAAATTGGTTCTCTAGGAACCATCATGCTGGCTGTTCTTAGAACTACGCAAGTTCTTAAAACTACACAGTGCGAAAGCCCCTAAAAAGGATACAATGGTATGGAAGCCCATTTCTGCCACTGAATTAAAAATAAAAAAAGGTAATTGCGAATTTTTATCTCACATTTAATAAATCCACCTTAATAAATTTATCAGGATAAATTTTAATTCTTTTACTAGAGCCACTACTAGAGGGGACTGTATAATACCACATAGAAGAAGTACTTTTGGGCAATCAGTATTTTCTTATAGAGCAGTATATACTTGGAATACTATACCCATAGAATTAAGAAATATTACATTTCTTGCTTCTTTTTCTGAATCGGTAAATCGGATAATCAAATATGTCTTCATAATTTGAAGTAGTGTTTTTTTAATTTCATTTATTGTATTCTGGTTTTTGTAATATGTTTGTTTCTGCTTTGTGTATTTGTGGATTATGGTTCTTACCATCAACCTGCCAGGGACTGCAGATTAAAATTAGCCTGAATGACTAAATCTGGCACATTTACATAGTAGACTTGTTTACTCATGTTAATTAATGTGTATTGTCCCTTTAAAATAAAAACAAACAAACAAACAAACAAACAAACAAACATTTGCGATATAAACTTGCAATTGCGAGTTATAAAGTTAAAATTGTGAGATATAAACTCGCAATTCTGAGAATTCTGAGCAATTAAGTCAGAATTGCAAGATATAAACTTGCAGTTCTGACTTTTTTCATAAACTCGCAATTACGAGAAAGAAACTTTTTTTCCCCTCAGAATTGAACTTTATAACTCTCAATTGGGAGTTTATATCTCACAGTCAGAACTGCAAGAAAAAAAGACAGAATTGCGAGATATAAACTCGCAATTGTGAGAAAAGTCAGAATTATGAGCTGCAAATTCGCATTTGTGAAAAAAGTCAGAGTTGAGTTTTTATCCCACTTTATAACTAGCAATTGTGAGTTTATATCTCTGTAAACTCGCAATTACGAGAAAAAAGTCAGAATTTCGAGTTTATATCTCTGTAAACTCGCAATTACAAAAAAAAGTCTTAATTGTCAGATAAAAAGTCGCAATTACCTTTTAAAACTTTTTTATTCAATGGCAGAAACAGACTTCCATACAATGGAGCCTGTTTCTGCCTCTGAGTTAAAAAAAATGTGAGCAATAAAGTAATAAAGTTAGGGGTGTCCCCGACTAAGGATTTTCATAGTCAGATCGGAATTTTCGAATCTTGCCGATAGTCGACTGATAGTCGAATCATATGTTTGGGGGCGGGGCAAAATACATTACCAAGAGACAGTCATAATTACTGATGTTAACACACAGGGAAAATGTGCAACGGACGCCTCGCAGATACAAAAATAATGTTTTATGTTTTGATTAAAAGATAGCTAACATTAAACGTCAGCGACATTCACAACATTTTTTACAATAGTGCTCTCATTATAACATTATGTATATGACAGTAGTTTTTAATGTTCTGCATTTCTGTTTTGAGCTGCGTGTGCTGAAGATGACCACTAGAATGAAGCATTTGTTAGCAGGTTTTTAATCAGTGGGATTTAACTCATCATTTATCTCATATAGAATATGCTTAATTATTTATACAACATAACGTTAATATTATGACTTATAGGCTATCTGCACAAAATGCCCCGAATGCACATGAACATATCTGCATGGCTCTGAATGAACTCCTTTTGTGGACGCGTTTTTCACGCAACAACGTGCAGAAACACGGCAACTAAACTCTAAAAATGCACAGCGTTTTATTATAATAGTGTTCTCATTATAATGTTATGTATATGATAGTCCCAGTCATAGTTATTAATATTCTGCATTGTTGTTTGTACTGCTTGCGCTGCGTGCTGAAGAAATAATCACCGTAGTACTACAATGAAGCGCTTTACTGCAGCGCAACTCAACCAAATGGATCTTATACGAGATAAATAATATATACAGGATATATACAGTATATAATGAATTGTTTTGAAATCACTTGTACCCTACCTGATCGAAAAAATCGGAAAAACTCTGCCTGTATCAATTTGAGTCTTGTGAAAGATTTAAATCCCTGCCGCCAAGATGCTCCTCTGTCGGTCACGGATTATGGAAAGTGAAACTTAAATCTATAGGGGTGGTTGGATTTATTCACGCACGTTAAAATATTTATTCAAAACTTCTTTCTTTTCAGATTCTTATTTAGAGCATTATCTTAATAGGCTGTATATTAACTTATTGGTTAAAAACCGGTAGTTCTATGTGAAATCAGACATTTGAGCACCCCCATATAGCCAAAATGGCATGTTCATAACACCTCTGAGAATATTCGACTGTGAGATTGATAGTTCAATCAGGCTCCTCCTATCGAAGCATCGAATCTCGACTATTCGGGGTCACCCCTAAATAAAGTCATAGTGTGACATATAAATTCATATTGTGGGATATAAAGCAACAATTTTGAGAAGAAATGCTACAATTATGAGATAAAAAGTCATGTTAAAGCCACAATTGTGAGAAACTGTTCAAAAGATTGGGGACTGATATAGCTGCTCACTGTAGCAATATTAAAATAATTTTGAAATTTGTTCTTCATCTGTAATGTTTTCTAGAGCCTGTGGTTCAGAGGGTGCAAGAAGGGGGCGTGGCCAATTTCACCATTCTGCGAGCTGGGCCTGCTAACTTTATCACCACAGTGAAGTATCGTTTTGAGTATGGTGACACATCACCGGGAGACTTCACTCCACTGAGTAACGACTCAATGTTGGTCTTTGATTTTGGAGAGTGGATGAAGAACATATCGGTTGCGGTGGTAGATGACGACATACCAGAGACAGATGAACCATTCCACATAGTTCTCTTCAACACCACAGGTTTGTCACATCCTCAGCTTTCAATTAACCATATATTCAGTGCATTTTATGTTGCAAAGTTTTGGTCCCTTTCAACATGCATTGACTTTTGCTTTGTGCTGCATTATTTTTGGGTGACTTCTTTTGCCAGCCCTTCAAATCCCCAACTTTTAATTGTCTATGTTGCCCAATTAGCTTCATTAAATTCCCACTCCATGAGACAAATACTGCTCTTCAGCTCTGCTCTGTAGAGGCAATAAATCCACCCCATTAAACATTTGTTTTGATTCGCACAGAGCTCTGTTGATTGGCCTCGACTCTCAAAAGCCCTCTCTAATCCTTGTATTGTGGAACATGCACACATTCATGAAAAGGGCTGGGTGACTGTAGAAAGTTAATTACAGAACTGTCCTGCAGATCACAAAGAAAAAAACAACCTAGAGTTTTCTGTCTGGAGGCTTTACCACTTTCCCTGAGGGATTGTGTTCAGATACATGGGTGTTATTACGATGTGAAACTGAGCTTTTGAGAGCATAATATGATTGCCGTGGTTAGCTTGTACTAATTACAACAGTGTTTCATGTAGAATGATGTTTAGCATAACAGTTACAATGTGTGAATGTTAAACAAATGTGCTGCCACAGATTTGAAAGCACAAGCATTTGCTAATGAGAAATTTGAAAAGGATTCTGCACAAAATGTTTGTTTTCTTCATTATAAATCTTTCTGGATTTATGCATGATTGAAGTTTTATCATGATAATTAGTTTGTATGCTTATTTGTGCTAGATTGCAACATTTTTATGACATGTCTAATGTAATTCTGTAATGAAATATATATATATATATATATATATATATATAAGCTCGGTACCAATGAATATTCCAATAATCAATAATTGTTTGCAATTGTTTGCTGTATTGCTGTACACTACCTTTCAAAAGTAAATTTTTTTCAATAAACAAATACTTTCTATTCATCATAGAAAAAAAATGTGTCACAGCTTCCACAAAATATTAAGCAGCACAACTGTTTTCAACACGGATAGTAGTAAGAAATGTTTCTTGAGCAGCAAATCAGAATTATAGATTGATTTCTAAATGATCATGCGACTCTGAAGACGGGAGTAATGGCTGCTGAAAATTCAGCTTTGATATTACAGAAATAAATAGCATTTTAAAATAGAAAACATTTTAAATAGAAGTAACATTTCACTTTTATATATTGAAGTAATATATATATTTTGATTGTATTAAATTAATGCAGCCATAGTAAGCATAAGATACTTCTTTAAAAAAAAAATGTGAGAGACTATGAGAGTGATGCTGTACTTATGTGTTTGTAAATGGGTCTTGTCAGGTGATGCAGTGGTTTATGGTCGAGATGCTGCTACAGTGGTGATTGAGGCTAATGATGATGCTAATGGGATATTCTCTCTGGATTCAACTCAGAAACCAGTGGAGGAGGGAAGAACCAATAACTTTTAGTGAGACTCCAATTCTCTAATCTCTAATATACAGCTGACCCAGATGTAAATCTCATAGCACAGATTGATTTTGATTCAGATAAAACAACACTGTCTTTTAGCATTTGAAAAGAAGTATTTATGTTCTACTCTCCGTGAAATAATGTTTCCTTTTTTGTCTCCAGTGTTCTTCGAGACAGAGGACACTTTGGAAATGTCACAATATACTGGCAGCTGTTTTCTAACGACACCCCCCTTGAACCTCACCAAGAATTTCTGAACACATCTGGCTCTATAGTATTTCATACAGGGGAGAAGACAAAACCTATTGTTCTTGAAGCCATCTCAGACAAGCTCCCAGAGTTCAATGAGTTTTATGAGCTCAGACTTACGAACGTCTCAGGTGAAGTCAATATCAGCAGTCAATGTTTTAGTTGTATTGTTTATTATTTTAAAGGCCACATGAGAGTATTTTTTCTATATTTTTTGACACATGCACTACACAAATTGTTGTCCAATCAAATGCCCCAGAATGCCCCTCCCCATTATATCACCTGTAATCAACTAAATAGCCAACTGTTTTTCAATACATAACATATCTAAAACCTATCAGTTTTTTTTTTTTAATTGGGATGATCCCTTTAAAAAGCCCTGCACAATGTTCCTGTGAAGCATCACTTGTTCCATGAGGTCTTTAAGTTTTATAGTTATTTTATATGTGCAAATATATAACATCTACTACATATCAAATGTTGTCTTTAGGTGGCTATCCTGGTGAAGGAGGAAAGTTGGCAGAGAAAGACCTCAATGCATCTGTTCTCATTCCCTTCAATGACGACCCATTTGGAGTTTTCGCTATTGCCCCTGATAGTCTGGAGCGTGAGGTAGCCGAGGACATCTTGTCAGTCAACGATATGTTTGATGTCACATCCTTCACCATACTTCGTCAGCAAGGAACCTTTGGAGATGTGCGTGTGGCCTGGGAAATCCTGTCAGGAGCTTTCCCACATGGTCTCAAGCCCATGGAAGACCTGATATTGATGGCTTCCTTTCCTCAGGCTGTAGAGCTCCGACCACATGCCAGGAGACGCCATGCAGGCACCGATGCATTCTTCTTCTCTGGACTTCCAGGAGCTTATGGATCCATCAGTGCAGAAACCCATCTGCAGGTTCCACAGAACCTGGCTAACTTTACCCTGTCAGTCTGGCTGATGCCCAGGCCTAATACAGATGGATTTATTGTCTCTAAAGGCAATGGGAATGGAACTATCTATTATGGAGTTCAGGTCCAGACTAATGAATCCCACGTTGCTGTTATGCTTCATTACACAACCGTAGGATCTAACAGCACACAGGTGGCGCGAGCTACTGCAATTAAATTTGTAGAGGATAATACATGGGTTCATGTGGTCATCGCTGTGGAAGATGGAATTATTGAGTTTTATCTGGATGGGAGCCCAATCCCTGGGGGGATAAAGAGTCTAAAAGGAGAAGCTATTGTAAATGGTGAGTAAAGCTTGTATTTTTTTTAAACAATGTAAATGTGGACTGCTTTAAAAAAAAAAAGAAAAAAGAAAAAAGTAATTTGTCCCAAATAAATATTGATTATTATTATCAGCAGGTAGACAGTTCAAGGGGAAAAGTTCCAAAAAACCTAAGCCATATTTAGGGATTGAGATGTTTGACTTTGATTTTTATTCTATTTTTAGTGTATTTGAGTGTATATAAAATACATTTATAGTAATAATTTATATATTTTTATATATTTCATCATTTTAATTATATAAAAATAGCATGAATGTGTAAATTAATTAATTTTTAAAACGATCCTTCAGAAATCATTCTGATATCCTGATTTATTACCAGTGTTGAAACTGTCGTGCTGCTTAATATGAAAATGAATAAAACACACACATTCTATTTTGAATAAACACAGTTCTTTTTAACTTTTTATTTATCAAAGTATCCTGAAAAAAGTATCACAGGTCCCAAAAAACATTAAGCAGCACAACTGTTTCTGACACGATTATAAATCAGCATATTAGACTGATTTCTGAAAAATCATGTGACACCAAAGACTGGACCAATGATGCTGAGAATTCAGCTTTGCTTTACTGGAATAAACTATATTTTAAAGTATATCAAAATAGAAAGCTGTTATTTTAAATTGCAATAATATTTCACAAAATTAAATTTTTTTTCTGTATTGATGAGCATAGGAAACTTCTTTAAAAAACATTTAAAAAATCTTACTGATCCTAAAGTTTTGAATGGCAGTGTATTGACTCAAATAAATGAATAAATAGCTAATTTGCTTTTTATAAAATGTATATAAAGTAGATAATATACCTGTGTCTGAGTATATCCTACTGATGCCACCCTCATTTTTCGTCTTTATTAAAATCATTCTCATCATTTCACATTATTTGCATCAAAGGCTTTTTTGAATTTATTTTAGCACCCCACATTTTAGCCTTTTAACAACTGCACTACAAATTAGGAAACCACCACTGCTATAATTCTTCATTTGGAGTTCCGCTTAAAAACAAATTCCTCATGCTTGTGTTGGTCAAGCAATGAGATGTGGTTCCTCACCTATTCTTGTGGCCCATATCTAGTCTAGTGAGAGCCCTATGCCATTGTTTAGCTTTTCACAGGAAGATATGCTTGACTGAACATTGAGCCGCTGGACATTGTTAGCAGCACATAAAGGCAGCCGGCGTACTCGCTCTCTCTCTCTCACTGAAAACAATAGAGCCCCTACTAAGACATTGCGGACATCTTTTATACCATCTTCAGTGAAGTGAATGTACATATAAACTGTATGGATATCTGAGATTGTCTCTGATTGTTAGCGTTACTGGTGATTACGGCCTTTGTTAAATGTTCTTGTTTCGGCTCCATGAAGCGTATTTCCTCAATTTGTACAGTTGTGTGCCTTTGAATGTCTCTCTGGTGGTCAGGAGGTTACTGCTTTAAGCTAGTGTAACCAACGAGGATGCACTCTTCCAATTTCCTTATTCCAATTTCACCGCTGTCACATTTCTCTTTTTCTCCTCGTATGAGTTATCATGGCCCACTAGGAAGGCTATGTCTATGGTGATTGGAAGGGATATGATACATACACAGATATGTGCTGCATTATAGATTATGCACATTTATGATGCAGCTTGATTTATTTTGGTTCATAAATCCTTAGTGAGGTTTATTGCTCATTCTAACCCTTAAGTATTAAACTTTGGCAGATACCTCATCCTACACCAGTTATGTTAGAGACATAAGCGACCCCTCAAATTGCAGGTCTTATTAAGGTGTGCTTGTTTTCTAAATAATAGAGGAAAAGTGAGACTGACCTTTGACCAGTAAGCAGCCATCTAGTAAAATATTCTAGCATTGCATAGAAGCACCCTAAAACCTCTCAGAAGAACACCGTAGCTACCTCATATTAACAATGTGGCAACCACCTAAAAGCCTTTAGCATGATTCGCTACAGACACTATTTAGGGTCCTAATATAATGTGATGCAATAAACCCAAACATTTTTGAGATTTCAGGAGATATGCATTTCTTTTTATTGTATTACACATTGGTATAAGTAAGATTATTCTTTATTTTGCTAAAAAAAAAAATATATATATATATTGATTTTTTATTTATTTATTCATCACATGTCTTATTGAGGAGAGGTGTGCTATTACTTTAAAGGGGTCCTATTATGCTTTTTCACTTTTTCAACTTTAGTTAGTCTGTAATGTTGCTGTTTGAGCATAAAAAAGATCTGCAAAGTTACAAAGCTCAAAGTCCACTTCAAAATGAGATATTTTATTTAACAGAAATCACTTTTCAAAAACTACAACGAACGACTCGTTTGGACTACAACGCATATTTTCCGGGATTTGTGATATCACAAATATCGACGAATGGGACGAGACCTGGTTGAGCTGCACTAGAGAAGGCAACGAGTGTTATCACTATGTCGGAGACACGTTACACTCAAAAAACTTTTTTTGAGTGTAGCTTTCCCAAGGCAGACGAACTTAGAGTGGTTACAATCATCCGGGTTTAAATCGCACTCAAATTGATTTGATATTGACGCAATATTTACACTGAAGCTTGCAGGCAGCTATGGTAAGGGGCATGACATTTCCCAAGCAGGTGCCGAGTGCTGCCAATCACAACACACACTGGCCCAGCTAACCAATCACAGCACATTTCGTATTTCAGAAGGCGGGCCTTCATTTGATACAGTAACTGTTCGAGTCCTTCATGCCAGACTGGGGAGAGAGGTATTGTAATAATGTAAAATATGTGAAAAATAATGTGTTTTTCGAACAACCTAGTATGAGAGCATGTTTTAGTACACCCCCAACACAAAATCAAGACTTTGTAAAAGAGCATAATAGGCCCCCTTTAAGGAAAAGGAAGATTAAAAAAATCCTTTAGACTTACATTGAAAGACAAGCCTGAGCTATATTTAGGGACTAAGCTTTTTTGACATTGACCAGTAAACGGTCACCTAGAAAACCACTCAGAACACCCTAGCTTTGCTTAGAAACACTGTAAAAATGAAACGCCTGAGCTACCACACATTAACCTACTGTACAATGCTTTAGCATCGTATTCCATGTCAAACACCTCTCACGTTATCTTCAGAAATCCATTCATCTGATGCATACTCAGGTAACATTCTATCACAAGATCTTCTGTAGTTTAAACAAGCAGCCATTGGGGTTGCAAGCCCAGATGTTTACCCAAAAGCCACACCATCCATCCTAATGCCTTGCTTTGAATTCTTCCATACAGATGCTGCACCTATTAGGATCGGTTCCAACCCAGATGGTGAACAGCGCTTCTCTGGTCTTCTACAAGACCTCCGGCTGTACTCCAGCTGGCTCAACCACTCCGAGATTCATGAGCTCCACAACCAACCAGCCAAGAATGACCTTCACAATGTGTCAGGGTACCTGACATACAGGCAGGAGGAGAAACTGAAGTCGTTTTTAGTCGAAGTACGGGACGATCAAGAAGAGGAGGGTGAGGAGGTTTTCTACCTACAACTGGTGGCTGTTCAAGGTGGAGCCCGTCTGCCAATGCCCAGACCTACTGCCATCCTCAGGGTCATGAAGAGTGATAATGCCAATGGACTTTTTGGCTTTACTGGTTTTTGTATACCAGATGTAGGTGCAAAAAAATCTTTCATATAATTATATGATGCTTTTGAGTTTTTTATTTTATTTTAAAACCAAAGATAAAGCAATGCCACTGTTTGGCATAAACACATAACTTCTGTGCAAATGCAAAAACTCTAAGACTCATAACAAGAACTAATTCTGACTATGCAAAACATAGATGTCCAGGGGTGACATCCAGTGAGAAATCTGTAATGTTGCCTTACAGATAGCCTTCTGACCAGCACAATTAAGGTCTAATGAGTTAACATCTAACCGTATTATTTGATTAAGTACCCAAGTTGCTTCTTTGTCAGTGTTTGGTTAACCTTCCCTCCGAAAGCATGTAACGTGACCCCTAGTTGTGAGACCATGTCTTCATGTATATTTAATATGTCTTCACGCCTGGATGGATGGAGCGTGCATTTTTCTCTTCAAGGAGATTGGATGCATGGCATCTCCAATGACTTGTTCGATTAACAAGACAGATGGTCAGTGAATTCCTTTAGAGGAGGACCTCTCAACTACTGACAGAAAAGACACAGTAGCACGTGCTTTCTCTTATGCTCTAAGCAAATAGAAACAAGACTAAGCAGAAAAAGGAAAGCGGACATTTATTAACTAATTGCCTTTCTATTTAACCAGTTACATGCAATGTAAAGACTGTAAACTGTGTTTAATGACCATGTATCTCAAAATTGGCAAAAATGCATCTGTTTCTTAGTTTGAGTTTATAACATTTCAACCTAACTTCTAAAACTCTGAATGGTTTAAAATAATTTTGTCCTGAAATTCTTTTTTAATTGTTGCTATTGTTGGTTTACAATGACCTTTATCCTTTCTTTATCAGATATCTGAGGAAGGCTCAATGATCTCCTGTGTAGTGGAGCGCACACGTGGCGCTCTGGATCATGTCTATGTAAACTACACCGTCACTCAGCTTGATTCACCCGCAGACTCGTCAAATGCCTCTGACTTTGCCAATGCTACAGGCTCCATCCATTTCCTGCCAGGCCAGCGCTCTGAGGTAACAGGATCGACCTGTCAAGCAGTTATTATTAATGACCACAGGACCACCAATTAAGGGGGAACTTTATAATATTGCCATTAATGTGTAATGGCTGGACAACTGCAATTACATGCCATTGCATTACATCTGTTCACACGATGACTGTATATGTTTAAATACAGAAATAACATTTAAATTACGATCAAAACATATAAACCACAAGTAACAATGTTTTAAAACAATAATGAGATATAATCAGAGTTAGAAAATTAAAACAAACTTGTTTTAAATAACAAAAAAGTTTGCATTGATGAATGTAGTTGATGTCTTAATATTTTTTATTAACAGCCAAACTGTAAATGTATATGGCTCCATCTAGTGGTGGTTTTAACCACTTTGATTAATTGACAGTGTAAATTCGCTAAGTAATGGCAAAGCCTCACTCATAAATGCCTTTATTATTTGATTTCTCTTGTCTCCTAGGTTTTAAACCTGCTGGTTCTAAATGATGACCTGCCTGAGGTTGATGAGCACTTCAGGGTTAGGCTGGTATCAGCTGAATCAGGTGATGGGAAACCAGGTTCCACTCCTACCAGTGGAGCCAGCATTGACCCAAACAATGCCATCAACAATATTACAATCAAAGCCAGCGATCATCCATATGGTAAATTGGTATATTTGCCATTTTTAGATTCATTCTTTCATTTATGCTGCCAGCTAGTCATAGTTGACTGGTTATTAATGTAATTTCAGGCCTACTGCAATTTCAAACTACCCCAGTGCCTGTGGGTATGATCAGACCCGCACTAGAGGAGGCCCATGTGATTGTTCAAGAGGAGGCTGGTGTGCTTAGTCTGTTGGTGGCCAGAGCACAGGGACTGCTGGGAAGGGTGATGGTGGGCTATCGTACGTCTCCATTCACAGCTGCTGGTTCAGAGGACTATGAGGTACCAGTAATGTTAAAAAAAACAACAACAACTTTAAATCATCTATTTATAAAATACTGAAAAAAAGTGTATCACAGTTTCGACCAAAATATTAAGCAGCACAACTGTTTTCAACATTGATGATAATAATAATAAATGTTTCTTGAGCACCAAATCAGCACATTTAATGATTTCTTAAGGATCATATGACACTGAAGACTGGAGTAATGGCTGCTGTAAATGCAGTCTTGCCATTACAGGAATAAATTCAAATTAAATTGAAAAATATACTAAAATTAGTAATCTGTTGATTTAAGTTGTAGTAATATTTCACCATATTAATGTTATTGACCTCAAGGTTTTGAACGGTGTGCATGTATATGTTTTTGGTCTTTGCTCTCTTATACAGTCCAGCAGTAAGAGTCATTTTTCATTAACCAAGATCCCCTAATAAAATTCCTTTGTATATTAAAATGGCACAATTCCTTTACATCTTCTGACAGGACACAGAGGGATTTCTAGACTTCTTGCCTGGCGAGAGATTTAAGTACATCAATGTGACTATTATAGACAACTCGGTCCCAGAGTTGGACAAAGTCTTCAGAGTGGAACTTTATAATCCAAATGGAGGAGGTAAGAAAACTTGTCAGTTCAGATTGATTCTGTGTCCTCTCTTTTACTTTCTTGATTTTTCTTTCACTGTTTCCGCATGCACTGTCTCCTGGGAGCTCCATTCATGCTGTTTGTGCATGATAATGGAACATTCTGTATGATTTCAATATGTACTATGTGTGATTCCTGTCTGTTCCTGTCTGGCTCCTGTGTGCTCCTTAAGTGGATCCATTTTTTGCAAGCGAAGCCAGTGGAAGTGGCGAGAGTGACACTGACTTCTTTCTTCCATCCTTTCACTATCATCATGGTAAGATTCTTTTTCTCACAGATCTTTCTCTCACAGTTTACTTTTTCCTAATTTCCATTATTTACTGTAATACCTGACTGGATTCTGTTTAGGGGGGAAAAAATACTGGTTTGACTATATATAAAACTAAAGTGCCTCTTAATATTAACAAAGTTCCCTTCAGGTCGAATAAAATAGTTTTTTATATATATTTATTATTTCCTAACTGCTTGAATTGCTCCTGCTTTGGCGTTTCTGAGGCACTTCATGCCCCATTATCTGTCATTTGGGCCTTGGCAGATCTTTTCAACAGAACTTCTTTAACCGATGCTAATTCGCTGCTTACTTTTTGTTTTTCTTTCTTTTGTTGATTTATTACATAATTGAGGTCGGCCCTTACACAAGCTTTATTTTGTAAGTGCTAGATTAAAAGTTGTAAAGTTTAAGAGCTGCCCATAACGGTCAAATCCCCAGACTCTGCCATGCTGTTTACATAGTACTAAGGCATGCGAGCAATACCAGGAAAGACGTGGGAAAAGCAAATAGCCTTTATGTTTAAGGGAGGCCAGTAGGGGTAAATGATTTTTGGAAATGTCACTGTTCACCTCTGTGACGCTTCTTGGTGCCCTTCTTTAGGGAGTCTTTAAAAGTAGTAGTATCGGTAAAAAATGGGTCTACTTATTTTATTATTTTCTTCTTTTATATTATGGCTTGAATAATGATAACATTTCTTTTTGCTCTGAAGCTAACCTGGGCGCTGCTGCTCGTATCATTGTGACCATCGCTGCTTCTGATGAGGCTCACGGCGTCTTCCAGTTCAGTGCCGACTCTCTGACTGTGAATGGCACAGAGCCTGAGGAGGGCAGAAGTACTGTAGTACTGCAGGTCAGTCCTAGTTATAAACATGGCTCATCATCAATGTGTTTATTTTGTCCCATCTATGAATTTATTCAAAAAGTTCTTAAAAAATGAATTTATACTGTATGTTACAAACAAAGAGAATTAGAATTATTTATTAGAAAAAAATATCAGTATATAAATATGCAAACAATATTTGAAAAAACTAAAGGAGTCATGTGGTACAATAAACAGGCAGAAATTATATCATAGACAAGATATAAAAGTTCACTGCCTTTGGGTTTTGAAAGAGGCCTCTTATGCTCATCAAGGCTGCATTTATTTGATCAAAAATACTTTAAAGGGATAGTTCACCCAAAAATGAAAATTCTGTCATTAATTACTCACCCTCATGTCGTTCCAAACCCGTAAGACCTTCGTTCATCTTTGGAACACAAATTAAAATATTTTTGATGAAATCTGAGAGCTTTCTGACCCTTCATAGACAACAACACAACTGAAATGTTCCCAGACCCAGAAGCGTAGTAAGGACATTGGTAAAACAGTCCATGTGATATCAGTGGTTCAACCATAATTTTACAAAGCTGTGAGAATACTATTTGTGCGCAAAGAAAACAAACCAAATCACATTTTCCGCCATTATCAAGAGTACCTCTGCAGGTAAACAAAGCATGCGCGTGATGCTGCTGACGTAGAACACGTATGCACTGAACCTTGTTTATGTACAGAGGAAAGTAATGAGCATGCGTCGTGGTAGTCTCGATAATTGCGGATTACGTGATTTGGAGAAGAAGAATTGTTGAATAAAGTTGTTAATATTTTATGTATTTTAATATTTTATCTATTTTAATGTATTTTAAAATGTATTTTGTTCCTGTGATGGCACAGTATTCATTACTCCAGTCTTCACTGTCACATGACCCTTCAGAAATATGCATTTTAGAGTCATTGAAATAAATAAAGTAAAAAATAAATTTTATTAAAAACAAATAGTACAGATGAGAGAAATGTTAATGTTTAATATAAGTAAGTTTCCTGTTTTTCTCAGGTGATTCGTACCTTTGGCGCTCTGTCCAATGTGACAGTGTACTGGGAGGCAGATGCTAATTCAGAGGGAGAACTTGTTTATAAATCTGGCAATGTGACCTTTGAGGTGGGCCAGACTGTTGAAAGCATCTACTTACTGATTTCCCAAGATGACATTCCAGAACTAGACAAGAGCTTCAGCGTCCGCCTCTCTAATGTTTCTCATGGTCGACTCGGGAAGGAAACTACTGCCACACTGACTGTATTGGCCAGCGACGACCCTTATGGACTTTTTGTATTCTCTGACAGCAGTAGACCAATCCGTGTGCCAGAAGCAAATGCTGTCATCACCCTGACCATACAGAGGAGAAAAGGCTTAATGGGAAGGGTGCGAGTGACATATCGAACATTGAGGGACACTGATGCAGCTCCATATAGCACACTGGGAGTGGGTCGGACCAGTGCAGGGAATGACTTTGTGCCTGTTGTGGAGTCTGTGATATTCTCTGCTAATCAGAGTGAAGTAAATGTGACCCTGAGGGTACTTGATGATGAGGAGCCGGAGAGAGCAGAGTCTGTGTTTTTGGAACTTGTCAGCGTCACTTTGGTTGAAGGGCTGCAACCCAGACCAGGTAAAAGTTACTTGGAAGGTGTCTTGAGTTATAATCTATTAAATGTGCAAAGCATTACTGCATTAAACAAAAAGCCAGGATGTGTACTGAAAATAACTTTTGGTTTTTCAGTCGCTCTTTCCCCTCGACTTGGCCCACGGAACGCCACAGTTGCCCAGATCATTATAGAGGCCAGTGATGGTGCTTTTGGGGTGCTTCAACTGTCTTCCACAGCAGTGAGTGTGCCCGAGTACTACGTCGGACCTATAATCAATGTAACTCGTATTGGAGGGATTTTTGCTGACGTGTCTGTCAAATTCAGAGCAGTTCCATTGACCGCTAGAGTGGGTGAGTTTTAATGACAAATGTATTTATGTTGTTATGAACGTTGTTGTGGAATGTTATTTTCCTGAATATTCTAGGAAAAGAAAAACATATTGTAAATTAATGTTTGATGAATACTTTTATTGAGCAAGCCCACATTAAACTGGTTAAAAGTAGCTGTGTTTCCATAACAGATTTGCGCAAAACTTTATAAATGTTGATAAAAACTATTGTGAAATGATGGCGTTTCCATTAACCAATGTTATGCGACTAAAATGTAATATTTCCTCTCATGATAAGTCATGGCGACGGGTGTTGGTAGGTTTATGTATATCACAGCAACTAAATTTATTTTTAATCGACGAAGGCAAATGCGTGTATCTTTAGTGAAGCAGCGCTGAGAGCCGCTTCTGGGACACTTCTGAAACCTGCTGCGCTGCGGTTGGTATAAGCACAAGCATTGGCTGTGATCAGTTCTGGTGGCCGTGTCGTAGCCGTGATACACCACAGACGTGTGCAGTGTAAATTATCCAAGCGTTAATGGCAAGGAAATCCCCTTATACTTGAGAGCGGCCATGTATGAGGTGTTTCTTGGAGGTTATATTACATTAAAGAATGATCATGTGACTTATACATACGCCAGGCGACCTGTAAATGTGAAAAAAAAGAAAAGAAAAAAACTGTTTCCATTGCAGTTTTGCAAAATATTATTTTTTAGAATTGCCTGAAAAACCACCTCATGCAAGTGTAAAAAAAAATTGCGATGGCTGTGAATGGCGAAATGCATTTCTATAATTCGAAAAAATAATATCAATCAAATAAATCAATATCGGTTAATTAAATAAAATAAAGGATAAATGAATATAAATCATTCTAAATAAATAAATTCTAAATGCCTAACTGAAGTTTTTTTTATTTCAACATTGAAATTGCCCCCTGTCTGTGCCTTAAAGGTGATGTAAAGAAGACCCTTGAGTTTGTCATCATGGATGACATGGAACCTGAAGACACCGAGACTTTACAGCTTGGTTTAGTGAGCACTGAGGGTGGCAGCCGTATCCTTCCCAGTTCGGAAAATCATGGCGACGGGTGTTGGTAGGTTTATGTATATCACAGCAACTAAATTTATTTTTAATCGACGAAGGCAAATGCGTGTATCTTTAGTGAAGCAGCGCTGAGAGCCGCTTCTGGGACACTTCTGAAACCTGCTGCGCTGCGGTTGGTATAAGCACAAGCATTGGCTGTGATCAGTTCTGGTGGCCGTGTCGTAGCCGTGATACACCACAGACGTGTGCAGTGTAAATTATCCAAGCGTTAATGGCAAGGAAATCCCCTTATACTTGAGAGCGGCCATGTATGAGGTGTTTCTTGGAGGTTATATTACATTAAAGAATGATCATGTGACTTTTACATACGCCAGGCGACCTGTAAATGTGAAAAAAAAGAAAAGAAAAAAACTGTTTCCATTGCAGTTTTGCAAAATATTATTTTTTAGAATTGCCTGAAAAACCACCTCATGCAAGTTTAAAAAAAAATTGCGAGATGAGAGTTTTTGTGAGAATGCCGTGTTTCCGTTGGGCAAATTTTCTAATTTCAATTTGCACAATTTGATGGGTAATGAAAATGCAGACATTGAGACATTTTACAGATTTCTGTTTCAAATAAATGTTCTTTTGAACTGCCTATTCATCAAAGAAAAAAAGCACCGCTTTTATTAAGCACAAAAACGGTCAAATCTGAATTGTCTGTTTTAACATGTTTGAATTGAAATGTATAAATGTTTTAAATTGTAATATTTACTTTATTTTTAAACAAATAAGTGCAGGAATTAATGGAATATCTGTTTTATATCTATATATTTCATCTGTATTCTGAATCATATCATATGTTTTTGAATGACATATATAGGTGAAGACTACAGTGTGGCCTCTTCTGATGTGGTTTTGCTGGAGGGAGAGAGTAGCAAGCCCGTCCCTATCCTCATCATCAATGATGTGGTGCCTGAACTGGAAGAGACCTTCCGAATTGAGCTTCTCAACCAGACAACAGGAGGCGCTCTCCTGGGGGACCTTACACAGGCCATCATTACCATCCTACCCTCAGATGATCCATATGGATCTTTTGGTTAGTTTTTATGAATGGCGTGCTTGTCATGGAAGTTCAGTAATGAAACATGTTCAGTGTTTTACATGGTGACAAGTTTGAAGAGATGTAATGTATTTTTGACGGTTAGTTTTTCAGGCTGCACCCTTCACAATCGAGGAGCCAGCAGTGAATGCTTTTGAGGTGTCCCTACCCATAGTGAGGAATGCTGGAACTATAGGTGATGTGGATGTCCAATGGAGAGCCACAGTCAATGGAAGACCTGCCACTGGTGATCTGCGACCTATGTCTGGTGAGGTCAGGTTTACTCCTGGAGAAACCTTAAAGACACTGAGAGTTGAGGTTTTGGCTGATGATGTACCTGAAATTGAAGAGGTGAGTGTTGGTTTTTAAGCTTTGTAAGGATGTATGAAAACTCTATATTACTTAAGTGTTTATGTTTAATTCAGGTCATAAAGGTTGAGCTCATAGGTGCCACCAATGGTGGGAACATTGGGGCTGAGAAAATAGTCGATATCATTGTTCCTGCTAATGACAACCCTCACGGAACCGTATACCTTGAGCAAGCAGTATACCGCATCCAGGAGCCACTGGAAGGGATCTATATTGCTAACATTACAGTTCGACGGAGGTAATGTGCCTGTTTTTCTTATGTCTTTCATTTTGCTTGGAATGGTATGTTATGTTGCTTTTTTGTGTGTTTTTCACTGCAGTGGTGGTAACTTTGGAATGCTGGAGATCATTTATAGCACCTCTGAAGTTGATATCGTAAGCAATGCTCTCAGGGAAGGCAGAGATTTCCTGGTTTACTATGATTCTCCATTGGCTGGAGTGCCATCTAATGCCCTCCGCAGACCCATCAACATCACCACAGACACAAACGTCCTGAATTTCTGTGCTGCGTTCTGCCTTAGAGAGCGAGCTTGCCAAGCTTTCAGCTTCACCAATGCCCCAAGAGCGAGTTGCTTCTGGGTAACGTCTGGGGCCAGACAACTGAGCCCTTCCCCACAAACGTTCACCTATTTAAAAAACACCACAGCAGCCGCTTCGCTGTTTAGCTCGCAGGCTGTTGCTGGGAGCGACTACATAACCATGACGGCTCAGACCACAACCATGCAAGACAGATCAGGAGTCGCTAACCTCACTGTACCCATCTTGCCTGACTCTTTACCAGAGGTGGATGAGAGTTTTGTGATTAAAATCCTGAGTGTTAGCTTGGTCAACATGACCGCAACTACCAAGAACTTGCCAACGATACAGCAGCCAGACACAGCTTTGGTGACTATAGCAATGAATGGAGATGCGTTTGGAATATTTCTGCTCTACAGCATTAACCCCAATGCCACACAAGATGGTCTGTATCTCGAAGTGAGAGAGGAACCAAAAACAACAGTGCTGCTGGTCATTGAGAGGAGAGGAGGCAGTATGGGACAGGTTACAGTGGAGTGGAAGTATGTTGGCGGCAGTGCCACACCCAACGCTGATTTCAATGGGACGGGGGAGACCCTCATCTTCGCAGAGGGTAAGTCTGGTCTGCTTTGTACTTTTGGTGGTACTGACAACACTTGCCACGAGAAGTCAGGAGTGTGCTTTTTAAAACTTTTAAAGTTTTAACGAGTCATTTTTAACCTTGTTTTTCAATGTTCATACTTTACTCTGGCGGAATTATTTACATAATGTATCTTTGGCAGCTTAAATCAGGGATAACGCTGCTTTGGTCTTTTTAATGCAGGGTTAAAATAATACAGTTTTTGTAAAACTGGCTGTGAATGGCGAAATGCATTTCTATAATTCGAAAAAATAATATCAATCAAATAAATCAATATCAGTTAATTAAATAAAATAAAGGATAAATGAATATAAATCATTCTAAATAAATAAATTCTAAATGCCTAACTGAAGTCCATTTTTTTTTTATTTCAACATTGAAATTGCCCCCTGTCTGTGCCTTAAAGGTGATGTAAAGAAGACCCTTGAGTTTGTCATCATGGATGACATGGAACCTGAAGACACAGAGACTTTACAGCTTGGGTTAGTGAGCACTGAGGGTGGCAGCCGTATCCTTCCCAGTTCGGACACAGTCACCATCCTCATCCTGGCCAATGACAATGCAGCTGGTGTGGTGGGCTTTCACACAGCTTCAAGATCTGTCATCGTCAGAGAGGGTCTGTGCTTTTCTTTTTTTTCCACTTTTACAGTTAAGGCTTGTTCACACCACGAATGATATCCATAACATTGTGTCTACACCGGACGATGCGACGAAAGACAATAGAAGAGTTTTGTCGTCTGCTGCTTTAAATGTTCAAACTCTTTCAAGCGGTGGATTCTGATTGTCCAGCAAGGGTTTTTATCATTCATCAGTTGGAAATAATTTAATAAAATGAAAATAATTCTGATTCCAACAACTTATGGTTATCTTTTTTTTAAATAATCATGCATAATATATAATTCTCTCAGGGGTTACCCAGACAGGCATGGCAGCTCTGCACGCTCAGGGTCGGGAAGCAGTGGTGAGCGTGGAAGCTAGTGACGAGCCGTTTGGTTTGCTCAGCATTGCCCCCTTATCCTTAAAAGTGACCACAGATGAGAAAGACACCACCATCAGGATTTACATAAACCGAGAGTTTGGTGCATCAGGTTAGCTACGCTTGTAAAATCACTCAAGCAAAGTTTTGTCCTGTAGTATGGGGATGTAAATATTGCTTCTTGCCCCTACAGGTGCTGTAAATATCAGCTATGAGACTGTGCAGGGCTCTCTGCAGGACCTCAGACAGACTGAGGGAGCTCTAGCCCAGCCAGGCCAGGACTTCAGACACGTCTCCAGTTCTGTGATCATGCAGGATGGACAAACATCTGTGTCCATCCCTATCACCATCTTAGATGTATGATGCTGCTGATCTAACATTGACTAAATTCTTACAGTTTTCATTTTAATGTTAATGAATTAAGAATTATTTTTAGATGCTAATTAAATCTCAGGCATATTGTATTAACCATAATTAAATTAATCAAGAAACATATTTGTATTTGTCGTTAACAGGATGACATCCCTGAGCTGCAAGAGTTTTTCTTAGTCAATATAACATCAGCTGTCCTCATAACCACCCTCCCAACTGCCCCTAAACTAAGTAAGATGATTAGATAATTAAGCGGATTGATTTTGTTTTACATAATTTTTCACTTTTCTGTGTTAAATGAGTCACATTTAATTAGGTTTTAGGTTCTTCTTTCAATTATACTTTCTTCTTGAATCCTGTTGCATCCTTTCATAGAGATTTACTATACATTAAAAGGTAATGGTACCCACATATGTGCTTGATATGCTCTAGTGCTTTGTGCTTATTGTCATATTGTCAGTGGCATTTTATAACTAGAATCTGTGTTTGTAAGGTGTGGTGATAACTGACAATATAATTGACAGCTCACAGCAGTATGAGCTCTATCATTCCCAAAGACAGTCTGCACTCCCCGCTTATAATCAGTGATTTGTGAAGACTGTTGGTAGAAGACTATTAGTGTTTTTTGTTTTTTTAGTACATGACTATGGTGTAGTAATAGTTGATAATTAATAATATGGCAAATTACCTTGTTTTTTATTGTGCTTTTCCTGAAATCCAAAGCATGCTGCCATTGCCCATAATCCTAACCCTTAAACAATTTTATTTTATTTTTATGATGTATTCCTGTCTTTCCAGATACTGAAGGCCTTGTAGCAGAGATCAGCATTAATGCTAATGATGGAATCCAAGGGATCATTGGCTGGCAAAACATAGAGTATGTCTTTCAGTCTTTTTTGTCTTTTTTTTCAACTTATGTGAATCATGGTATCCTTCATTTTATGCTGAGTAAAAATCTTTTGGTAATGTATGTATTTTCTCCTCAGCTATGTGATAAATGAGACAATTGGCGTGTTAACTCTGGTGGCGTACCGTGATGCCGGGACGTATGGAAATGTGTCCCTGTTCTTCTATGCCCAGAATCTCGAGGCTCAGTTGGGTCTGGATTTCAATGCTACCCCATCAGTGAGTCACAAACACTCTTTCTAGTTTTTAAATACAATTAACTATACTAGCATTTATTGTTAATAATTATTGACGATATATATACCTACACAGATGATCCATTTTGTGGATGGAGAACGGCACAAGTTTATTGAAGTTCAGATTTTAGATGATGCCATTCCTGAAGGGGATGAGACCTTTCAGTTAATTCTAGCAAATCCGTCGGCAGGGCTGCAGCTGGGAGAAAACACTACAGGTCTGGTATGCTGGGAGACACTGAACATTCATGATCGTCCATGATCAGTGCCATATAATTTTTGTCTAATGTGTTTTCACAGCTACTGTGACTATTCTGGCCAATGACGATGGCCATGGAATCATATCCTTCAATAACAGTGAGCAGGATGGACAAACATCTGTGTCCATCCCTATCACCATCTTAGATGTATGATGCTGCTGATCTAACATTGACTAAATTCTTACAGTTTTCATTTTAATGTTAATGAATTAAGAATTATTTTTAGATGCTAATTAAATCTCAGGCATATTGTATTAACCATAATTAAATTAATCAAGAAACATATTTGTATTTGTCGTTAACAGGATGACATCCCTGAGCTGCAAGAGTTTTTCTTAGTCAATATAACATCAGCTGTCCTCATAACCACCCTCCCAACTGCCCCTAAACTAAGTAAGATGATTAGATAATTAAGCGGATTGATTTTGTTTTACATAATTTTTCACTTTTCTGTGTTAAATGAGTCACATTTAATTAGGTTTTAGGTTCTTCTTTCAATTATACTTTCTTCTTGAATCCTGTTGCATCCTTTCATAGAGATTTACTATACATTAAAAGGTAATGGTACCCACATATGTGCTTGATATGCTCTAGTGCTTTGTGCTTATTGTCATATTGTCAGTGGCATTTTATAACTAGAATCTGTGTTTGTAAGGTGTGGTGATAACTGACAATATAATTGACAGCTCACAGCAGTATGAGCTCTATCATTCCCAAAGACAGTCTGCACTCCCCGCTTATAATCAGTGATTTGTGAAGACTGTTGGTAGAAGACTATTAGTGTTTTTTGTTTTTTTAGTACATGACTATGGTGTAGTAATAGTTGATAATTAATAATATGGCAAATTACCTTGTTTTTTATTGTGCTTTTCCTGAAATCCAAAGCATGCTGCCATTGCCCATAATCCTAACCCTTAAACAATTTTATTTTATTTTTATGATGTATTCCTGTCTTTCCAGATACTGAAGGCCTTGTAGCAGAGATCAGCATTAATGCTAATGATGGAATCCAAGGGATCATTGGCTGGCAAAACATAGAGTATGTCTTTTTTGTCTTTTTTTTCAACTTATGTGAATCATGGTATCCTTCATTTTATGCTGAGTAAAAATCTTTTGGTAATGTATGTATTTTCTCCTCAGCTATGTGATAAATGAGACAATTGGCGTGTTAACTCTGGTGGCGTACCGTGATGCCGGGACGTATGGAAATGTGTCCCTGTTCTTCTATGCCCAGAATCTCGAGGCTCAGTTGGGTCTGGATTTCAATGCTACCCCATCAGTGAGTCACAAACACTCTTTCTAGTTTTTAAATACAATTAACTATTCAGCATTTATTGTTAATAATTATTGACGATATATATACCTACACAGATGATCCATTTTGTGGATGGAGAACGGCACAAGTTTATTGAAGTTCAGATTTTAGATGATGCCATTCCGTGATAAATGAGACAATTGGCGTGTTAACTCTGGTGGCGTACCGTGATGCCGGGACGTATGGAAATGTGTCCCTGTTCTTCTATGCCCAGAATCTCGAGGCTCAGTTGGGTCTGGATTTCAATGCTACCCCATCAGTGAGTCACAAACACTCTTTCTAGTTTTTAAATACAATTAACTATACTAGCATTTATTGTTAATAATTATTGACGATATATATACCTACACAGATGATCCATTTTGTGGATGGAGAACGGCACAAGTTTATCGAAGTTCAGATTTTAGATGATGCCATTCCTGAAGGGGATGAGACCTTTCAGTTAATTCTAGCAAATCCGTCGGCAGGGCTGCAGCTGGGAGAAAACACTACAGGTCTGGTATGCTGGGAGACACTGAACATTCATGATCGTCCATGATCAGTGCCATATAATTTTTGTCTAATGTGTTTTCACAGCTACTGTGACTATTCTGGCCAATGACGATGGCCATGGAATCATATCCTTCAATAACAGTGAGCATTTCCTGCTGAGGGAGCCCACTTCAGTGTCAGGTCTGGGCGAGAGTGTGGCCACCCTCTACATCATACGAGACCCTCCTCAGGGTGTATTTGGTACAGTAACGGTCCAGTTCACAATCACTGATGTCAATGGATCCCTGTACACTGATGATCTCACACCTTCCTCTGGCTTTGTTGTACTTGAAGATGGAGTCAGATTCAAGGTACAGTATAAAAAGATCTTACTGAGCAATGAGAATTTTATGAAATTGTTAACCAAGCATAATGACAGCACCATGTCTCTGTAGGAGAGTAGAAAAATGCATGTAGGAACCAGTGTTTTGTCAAAGAAAATAGTCTCATATTTGGTTTCTAGACTTTGGAGATCTGGGCTGTTCTGGATGCTGAGCCAGAAATGAATGAAACATTCACAGTGACTCTGTCCAACCCTACTGGAGGTGCTCGACTGGGAGACTCACTACAGACTTTCATCACCGTACTGCAGAATCAGGCTCCTCTAGGACTCTTCAGAATATCACCATCATTTAACAGGTACATTCACAGTCTGTTTTAAACAAACTTGTTAGACCCATACAACCCCTGCTTCTACTGTATTTGTGTATTTTCCAGGACTCTAGACACCCTGACAGTGGAGGAGCATGGCGGTACGGTGTACCTGACTATATCTCGCAGTAATGGGTTGGAGTCAGCCGTCAGTGTGGAATGGGAGACCCGGTCAGGAACAGCATTTGGCATGAGTAAGAAATTGCACCAGTCAGTTTATTTTGGTGTAAGCAAAAACGGTTTGACCACAGATTGTTTAATGTATTTGTAGGAGGAGAACAGCCAGTGTTGGCTATGTATCAGTCTGTCAGGGATAGCTTGGCATCAGTCTGGTGTGCAGTGCCCATTGAAGACTCTGGTGTGGTCCTGAGGCTGCTCAGAGGTCCTGCTCAGAACCAGGCTGTGCTCTACAAATGGCAGGGTGTCTTAGTACCTGTGGAGGTATGCTCTGAATTCAGTTAAAGCACGTTGTATGTGAACTCCTTTGCCTGTTCTGTTCCCCTCTGTCCTCCCAGTTGTTTCACATTTCAGATACATTGTCCTATCTAATAAAAAAGGCATACAAGGACAAAAAAAAGCTCAATGCTTGGTGTTTTTGTAGAAGAAAATGCACTCAAAATTGTAATGCTTGTTCAGTTTCCCTAACTATATCAGCTAATGCAACAAAATTGTATTCACTATAATGATATACAGTACATATAATCATACACTGTGAATTTAGTTTGTTTTGGTTTTTAATAAACCATGTGTTTGGGTCAAATTTACAGTTTTATTTAATGTTAAGAAAACCCATTTGCAATCTGTGGAACCAATATCATATGAAGTTCAGGCAAAGATTGGTTGATTTATTAATTTGAACTCATTTTAAAATCCTTTTTTGTAATTAAGTTATTTTAATTCATGTATTTATTTATATTTTGTAATTTATTTATATTTTTTAAGACCAATTAATTATTCATCATACCATGTCAATGCAAGACAATAAGTATTTATTTTATTTGTTTGTTTCTATTTTTATTTCCTTTCTTCACTTATTTATTCCTTTTCTCTCTTTCACTCTGTTTCTCATAGTTTGTCAGCATCCAGAATCCCAGCTCTTGTGTGGGTTTTACAGTAAATGGCTCCAGCTATGTGGCAGTTTCCCATGCACACAGCACTGTGTCATTAACTACCACAATCAGTTTATTTCGCCTTCAGGCAGACCTCAACCTCACTCAAGTGAGTATGCTGCCAGTTTATCTTTTTATTTAGCTGCCATCGACAATAGCTGCATTTGTGCTTATCCTGTGATAGACTTGTGATTCATCTCACTATGGTCAGATTTGTATTTTCTAATGTGGTGTATTTGTGTATTGTTCAATGTGATCCCCTTTTGTAGGAGCAGACTCTTACTGTGAACAGTTTCAGCGTTAAACACTTCTCCACTGAGCTCCAGCAATATTTGATTGCTTCTAGTGAGGTAAACTCAATCTGACATGTAAAATACAAACTTGGAGTTCTAATTGGAATGCATTAACATAGCAATAGTAAGAAATAATTTACTGAGATCATTCCTCTCTGTCTTAAGATTTTTGTCTGGGATGGAGGCTCATTCTCCCTTCATCAAAGTCTTGACTTGCAAGACATTACCACAGCCATACCCTTCAAACGAGGCAGCAGCAATGCACAGCACCTGGCTGTGTGCAGGAACAGAACGTCATCACCGTGTCTGATATACCAGTGGAGTAATGGACGTTTCCAAATCCCTCAAACCTTAGAAGTCAGTGCTCGAGTCAAGCAAGTGGAATCATTTCAGATGGGAGGAGATACGTTCCTCCTCGTCGTTACTGAAGGTATCATGTGCAGTCAGTAGCACTGTTGCAGTTCAAGAGTATTTTAAATTTGAAGATGTTTTGACACAGTGATCTTGAAATGAGCATTGCTTCCCTGTATCAGTATCTAACGTTCACATTGTCTTTATTATTCACCATGAAAAGGCCCAAGCTCAACATGTGAAGTGTTTATGTGGGGTTCTCAGCAAAACTTCTTCCAGCAGACACAGTCCATCCCATTTCCCGGCCTCTTTTCAGTCCACCCCTTTACCCCTCCTACCGGAATATGTGAGTTGCCAGACAGTATTGTGCAGTCTGTTTAAATAATATCACATTTAGTGTGTTTCCACTGTTAAGCGTATTTTTACCCATATTTCATCTTTACCAAAATTATATGCCTTGGTTTATTGGTATTTTAATTTAAATGTAATAATAATGGCACTTGCAAAACAGAATTGTATTGATATTCCTCAAAAATGGTTGGGGTATGGTTATGGTTGGGTTATGGCTAATGTACAGACTTTCTTTCTTGCATGTACACCATCATTCAACTGTACCATTTATTTATGTATTTATTTTTTTTCTCTTAAAAAATAATAATGATATTCCTCAAGGATGCATTAAATTAAAAGTGACATTAAGTACTTTTACATTGATACGTTTTTTCTGTTCTATTCTACTCTATTCTTTTTAACTTTCTTTTTGATTCCTGAAAAAAAGTAAAATAATACAGCACAGTCATTTTGTTTGCGTAAATTTGTATTTGTCTTGTCTCACTTATATAATAGTTATATATTTAACTATTTGTTTGCCTCGCAATCATATCTAGTGTGTAGACTTCATGTCATTTACAGTATACAGCAAAACTATCTGTACTGAGAAATTAGATTTACAAGTTTCTTTTTGTCTTAGCTCACCTGTTGCTTGCGGGTCTAAGTGGTTCAGCCCTGTACTCGTGGAGGTCAGATCTGAGGCAGTTTGCTGAAGTACTGCAGTCTCCGTCTGCACAAGAATTCCTGTACCTTCTTGTTCCTTCTCTCAATTCTACCAAGAGTCTTATCGTAGCCACTGGAGAATCAAGCTCTGTTGTATATGAGCTGACCTCAGTGTCCAACCAATCTGACTTCATCCCCAAGTATGTTACCATTCCTAAGTAAACCATAGAAACAAACAAAAAAAAACTGTTTGATTTCTATATTTAAATGTTTGTTATTATTATTATTGTGATATACTGTATATACCTTTTCTAGCAGTCTAATGCTGATGGTCATTGCTATTTTCATCTCTTATCTTCAGTTCAGGAGAGCTGTTTTTCCAGCCTGGTGTCCGTGAGCTAGAAATAGCAGTGAATGTAATTGATGATGATGTTCCTGAGGAGGAAGAACATTTTCGTGTCAGCCTCAAGAACCCCAAAGGAGGGGCAGAAATTGGCTTTCGTGGTCAAGTGACCTTGTTCATTCCAGCTAATGATGATGCTTATGGGATTATAGGCTTTGCACAGGTATAAAGATCAGAATACATTGTGTGCTTCACAGATGCTGTTATCTGAATATACAACTCACAAAACCCAATGTCATGGCATGATCTTTAATAGTGTAAATGTGAAGTACTGTCAAATTTAGATTCAAAGACGTTGGTGCACAGTTGATGATATAAAAATATATTTGTATACAGAACTCTTTAATGCGGGAGGTGGATGAGTTGGAGGATAATAACCCTGTTTCTCTGAGCATTGAGAGGATGAGAGGCAGGTTTGGCAGACTAACAGTACACTGGAGTGCCTATGGTAGTCTGGATGACATTTTTCCCACTTCAGGAGTGGTAAGAGCTGCTGCTTTCTGATTTTAATTGTTTTAGTTATAATGTTTGACCGAACTGCATGTTTTAAATAGTGCATTTGTATTGCAGACTGTCGTTCTAGTCCAAAATCACAACTCTAACTATAAGCTGCCATTTGTAGCAGTTACATATGTAATTAAAATGTTCAAGCATCTGTTTACAAAAACGTTGTACTATTTAAAGAACCTGTTATTCAAACCTATTCTATAAACCTCCCAATTGGGACAACAAAATGTCAACATACGGTATAACCACAATGTACTATAAATTACAGACCTCTTTACATCCTCTCCATCTGTTTTGCATGTAGGTGACATTTTCTGAGAACCAGGCTGTTGCTACCATCTCACTGAATGTATTAGCTGATGATATTCCAGAGTTAGCAGAAAAAGTCACCATTGTCCTGACCAAGGTCATAACGATTGGGATAATGGAGCCATCTAGAGGAGCCATGATCGACCCTCAGCGTACCCAAGCAAACCTCACTATTAGAGCGAATGGTTCACCCTACGGAGTCATTGGCTGGCACCTCGATTCCCAGTACTTCATTACGCAAGAACCTCAAAGTAATCCATTTGTGTTTAACTTTGTCTCAGTTGAACTTAGCACGATAATATAATCAACAGCATATGAATGGCTAAGACAGCCAAAAAACATTGCTGTGGTGTACCACCACAATATGTAAGTCAAATATTTAAGTCAACATGTCATAATTTCCATCAATCCAAATTACTGATAAGAAATATGTACACATTTCCTAGTCATATACTTAGTCTTGCAATTAGTTTAGAAATTTAGCTTTTTTTTTTTTTTACATAATTGTCACATTCATTACAATATGAAAATATTGAATATATTGAAATACACTGATTGTAAATATTACATTTTTTTTATTTATTTCCCTTCAGAGAGCCCAAGCAACATTACACTGAGTATTGTGAGAGATCAAGGAGCATCAAGGGATGTATTAGTTTACTACACCACCAAAGCAGCCCTCCACCTGCCACCTGTTAATCAGGCTAGTGAGGGAACGGACTATGTAGCCAAAGAAGCCACAGTCATCATGAAAGAAAATGCTACTGTTGTTTTGGTATCTATTACCATCTTGCCTGTGAGTATTACAACCTAACTAATCCAACTGCTTCACTGAGATGCCATATAATAAAGAAGTTATATCTTCAGAATGTTAAATTGATTCCTAGTAAACAAGTCACAGTAATGGTCGAAAATGTGGGCTGGTGATTTAAAATTGTTTAGGTTAAACCCTGAGTACGTAATTTACTGAGTACTTACATGTGTAGCTAAATATTTATTTAAGGAAAATTCAGCTGTGCCATCACAGGAAGAAATTAAATTTTTTAATATATTACAATAGAAAAAGGCTATTTTGAATTGTGATAACATTTCACAATATTACTGTTTTTACTATCATTATGAATGAATACATGAATCTTCTTGCAAAAACATTCCCAGTTAGTCTCAGTTCACTCAGTCTGAGGACACACTATGCGGAGTCTGATTGACCTCATACAGCACAAGCCAACAGCCAGTTACTATCACCACCACAGGAACCCCACTTTTTTTTCAGTTTGTTCCTGGAATAGCTTGTGCCTTGCAAATTGCAGTGGTCGTTAGATATTTTTGCATATTGTCCAGCCTCAAAAACCACATGTTGAATTTGTTTGGGCTGAAAGTTTATGACTCAGACTGCTGACATAAATCAGCATGTTCTTAAAATGAATTGTATAGAAGCTTTTTGGATGCTTCTTAGAATCTGCTAAGGAAATTATTCCTTATGTTAAAGGGGTCATATGATGCGATTTCAATTTTTCCTTTCTATTTGGAGTGTTACAAGCTCTTGATGCATAAAGAAGATCTGTAAAGTTGCAAAGATTAAAGTCTCAAATCCAAAGAGATATTCTTTATAAAAGTTAAGAGTAAACCACGCCTACCTAAAACGGCTCGTTCTAACACGCCCCCACATGTCTACATCACTATCTGGGAAGATTTGCATAACGCCGCCCCAAATGTTCACGCAAAGAAAGAAGGCGTAACTTTTATTCTCACTGTAGTATTGTTGTTGCCGCCACCATGTCGTGAAGGCGCTGTGTGTTTCGTTGTGAAAGCGAAACTACTTTGTTTGGGCTTCCAAAAGAGGACGATATCTGCTTTGTCATGCCTGGAGCTGCTCCGTGCTGGTTGCTGAGGAAATACAACAAATTTGCGCTGTGGATCGCCAGATCGCCTTTCACCGTGGACGAAGTGGAGTCCAGCCCGGGGTCGTCGCATGTGGTTGCCGCAAGCCCTCCGGACGCTCCTTCATTGAATCCGCCGGCCGCGCCGTTCTCAAGCCCGCCACCTCTGCTCACTCTAGGCCTCCGGCCGTTCCTCACTCTAGGCCGCCGCTGCTCACTCTAGGCTGCCGTGTGTGACGCTGTGTTTTGTTGTGAAAGTGAAACTACTTTGTTTGGCCTTCCAAAAATGGACACGACTAGAAATCAGTGGTTAAGTTGTATTTACAACACTGTTCCAGAACACTTCAACCCAAATATTCAGATATGTGCAGCACATTTTATGGAGGACTGTTTCCTGATCCTGGTAGAGTAGACTACAATGCCGGCTGTTCTGACTCACAGATTGTAAGTACGTTTATTATATTTAAAGAGTTTTTATATTTTATATTTTTTTATATTTAAAGCCAGTTTTTTGGGCAGTGTAGAGTAGAGCTTGTTGTTTGTCATTTTTCCGATCACAAATGCAGGCATGGTTTTATGTTTATGCAGCGCGATGCAACACAACGCGTAAAAAGACAGTAGAAGTCATTATAATCCATAATTATTTCCCCACTGGATGCAACGAATGCCTCGTTTATAATGGGTTTTCATGTTTTTGTCTCGTCGCTCCGGCCTGACAGGGCATCATCACAATATGGTAAGGGGCGTAACATTTCTGTCACACGCTTGAGGTATTTGGCCAATCATAATGCACTGGATAGCTGGCCAATCACAGCACACCTCGCTTTTCAGACCAATGAGCTTTGTAAAAATTGACGCGTTTCAGAAAGGCGGAGCATAGAGGAGAAACAATAATGTACAGTATGTGGAAAATAATGTGTTTTTTTAACCTTAAACCGCATAAACACATTTCATTACACCAAATACATAAAATAATGTTCTTTTTAGCAACATCATATAACCCCTTTAAGATATATGAGGTCTCTAAGGGGTTTTAACTTATGCAGTATGTGATATGCATGCAGGTAAGGATTAAAATTGGATTAACCCCTGGATGGTATGTGTGTTTGCCTTTAGGATGATATTTCTGAACTGGCTGAGACATTCCTTGTAAACATTACTAGAGTTGAGCTGTTGGGTGGAGACACAGGAGCAGCTCAGCCCAGTGTGAGGAGACCTGGTCTGGAGATAGCTGAGGTCACCATCCAAGAGAACGATGATCCAAGAGGAGTCCTTAGTTTTAATGTCTCAAAGGTTGATTTGCAATTAATTATCTTTAATTATGGTTTTGTACCAATTTTATTATGAATGAAGAATTAACATGCTCCTGCAATCCCTTGTCTTTTAGGATGTTTCTGGGGCAGTGCTGGCATTTGAGGTACCATCACCTGGAAACATCCTTCGCTTGGCTGTCATGCGAATGGCCGGTAGATCTGGTAGACTGGTGCTTTACTGGGAGGCGCAAACGGTCACAGCCAACACTGAAGATTTTAGTCCTTCTTCTGGAAACCTTACCTTTCAAGATGGACAGGTAAAGATTAACATCAGAAATATATCTTAATGTGTTACTACTGTAGCTATTTTGAAGTAGTTGTTTCAGCAAATTATGGTGTGCTTTACCAGATTTTTTGCTGGAAATGTTTGTAAAAAGTGGAAGTGGAACATAGAACAAGAATGAATAATGTGAACTCTTTTTTTTTTTTTTTTTGAACAGGCAGTGGCTTATATTGAGATCACCATTATTGATGACACAGTTGTGGAGTCCACAGAGACGTTTATGGTGAAACTGGTTAGAGTCATTGGAGGTGCGAGGTTGGGGGACGAGACAGCTGTGGTAATCAGCATCCCGGCCAATGATTCACCTTTTGGTCGGTTCGGGTTTGAAGAGCTAGTGGTAAATAATATCTATAAATATTAGTTCTATATTACCATTTTGCAGCCTAGCCTATGTGTTTTAATTGTCTTACTTGTGATAGTTGCATAACCTTACATTTATATGCTTTGTGAGTGGTCCACTCTGGATATCTGAGGCATTTCTGTATTATCTCTAAAGTAACTTTTTGCTTGAACTTCTACATGGCAGCTTTTTTGTATTTGCTATACTTTATTTGGTAAGATGTAACCCTGTGTTTACTTAGTTTAACTACTGCCATTAGGTTCGGATGCCTTTGTGGTTACTTTATAAAAGCCATAATCAGCTCGACTGAAAAGATGAACCTTAGTAACATCCTTTATCTTTCCTCAGGTCTCTGTGTCTGAGCCTCGGTTCCTAAATGACCTAGCTTCTATAGCTACACTGACCGTAGTGCGTAGCTCAGGAGGTGAAGGAGTAGTGCATTTGATATGGCTTCTGCAGGAAGAGGGCAGAGATGACCTAAGCCCTCGTAATGGAACTCTAATTTTTAATGGAGTAAGTATGGAATATGAATATGACTATTGTCTTAAAGGGATAGTTCAACGAAAAATAAAAATTCTGTCATTAATAACTCACTCTCATGTCGTTCCAAACCCGTAAGACCTTTGTTCATCAGAACACAAATTAAGATATTTTTGATGAAATCCGAGAGCTTTCTGACCCTCCATAGAATGCAAGGGATCTTCCACGGTCTTAGTTTACTACACAACCACCACGACTTCATTTAACAGGGAGAGGTTATTATGTGAGTATAGGAGAGCATAAGTCTAAGTGGACATCCATGACATGAGGAGTCCCACAAGGCTCAATTTTTGCACCGCTCTTGTTTAGCTTGTATATGCTCCCACTAAGTCAAATAATGAGAAAGAACCAAATTGCCTATCACAGCTATGCTGATGATACCCAGATTTACCTAGCCTTATCGCCAAATGACTACAGCCCCATTGACTCCCTCTGCCAATGCATTGATGAAATAAACAGTTGGATGTGCCAAAACTTCCTTCAGTTAAACAAGGAAATATCTGAAGTCATTGCATTTGGAAACAAAGGTGAAGTTCTCAAACGTGTATGCATACCTTGACTCTAGGTGTTTGACAACTAAAAATCAAGTCAGGAATCTTGGTGTGATTCTAGAGACAGACCTTAGTTTCAGTAGTCATGTCAAAGCAGTAACTAAATCCGCATACTATCATCTAAAAAACATTGCAAGAATTAGATGTTTTGTTTCCAGTCAAGACTTGGAGAATCTTGTTCATGCCTTTATCACCAGCAGGGTGGACTATTGTAATGGTCTCCTCACCGGCCTTCCCAAGAAGACCATTAGACAGCTGCAGCTCATCCAGAACGCTGCTGCCAGAATTCTGACTAGAACCAGAAAATCTGAGCATATTACACCAGTCCTCAGGTCCTTACACTGGCTTCCAGTTATATTTAGGATTGATTTTAAAGTACTTTTACTCGTTTATAAATCACTCAACGGCCTAGGACCTAAATACATAGCAGATATGTTCACTGATTATAAACCTAACAGACCACTCAGATCATTATGATCGAGTCAGTTAGAAATTCCAAGGGTTCACACAAAACAAAGGGAGTCCGCTTTTAGTTATTATGCCGCCCGCAGTTGGAATCAGCTTCCAGAAGAGATCAGATGTGCTAAAACATTAGTCACATTTAAATGCAGACTCAAAACTCATCTGTTTAGCTGTGCATTTACTGAAAGAGCACTGTGCAATGTCCGAACTGATTGCAATATATTTGATGTATAATCATTTTCTATTCTTAACTGTTTTAAATTAATTTTAAACCTTTTAAATACATTTTTTAATCATTTTCAAAATGTTTAATTCCTTATTTTATTGTTGTCATTATTATTATTTTTTTTCATTTCTTTTATGTAAAGCACTTTGCATTACCATTGTGTATGAAATGTGCTATATAAATAAACTTGCCTTGCCTAACAATTTCTTCTGTTTCGGGACAGTCCGCCGCCCATTCACGAGAATACCACGATGCATACGTGTGCAGTCCTCTGCTTCTAAACAAGGCGCATACACGTTCTACATCAGCAGCACCACACGCATTCGCCGTGGTACTCTCTTGAAGGGTCAGAAAGCTCTCGGATTTCATCCAAAGTATCTTTGTTAAATTTGTGTTCCGAAGATGAACGAAGGGTTTACGGGTTTAGAACAACATGAGGGTGAGTAATTCATGACGTAATTGTCTTTTTTTTGGTGAACTATCCCTTTAAATTAATTGAACAGCACTTTTACCTATGCCACAGTGAGATAATCACAGTTGTTAAATTGTTTTATTGTTTGTAGACTGAGTCAAAGAAAACTCTGGTGGTTCATGCTTTGGCCGATGCTGTTCTGGAGGGAGAGGAAAGATTCACTATCCAGCTGCTCTCTCCAAAGAATGAGCCTGTCATTGATCCAGTTAGAGGTTTGTCAGCATATTATCACTATTGATAACATCTGGGAAACAGTTATTGTTTATGTCTTCAAAAATGTCGCTATTTGTGCTTTTGCGGTGTTTCTCTTCTAAACGTTAATGTTTCTCTTTTTCATAGAGCAGGATATTTTAGTATATATCATGTTGTCTATATTCTGGCTGGACGTCTTTTTACATCAGTTACTTTTTCTTTTCATCAGGTATTGCTACGGTTGTAATTCAAGCTGATATGGGTGCACTGGGAACTGTAGGAATAGCTGATTCCAGCAGGAATGTTTTGATTGGCGAGCCAAGAAACGATTACAATGGAACAGCTCTGGTCAGGTAAACGTCTCACCTTCTCCAACCAACAGAGGTTACTGGATCTTTAATTTTTCACCATTGGCGTCACCAAATAGAATTCACAAAAAAACAAAAACAAAACGGATTTCCTAAACACTGCCCTAATCTGAAGATGAATTGTGTCCTATCAACTGCAGTCTTGTAAGAGGTCCAGGCATCTTTGGTGAAATTGAGATCTTCTGGAACATCACCACAGCTGCAGATCCAGAGTTTGAGGAGACCTCTGGCAAAGTTGTCATGAAAGACCGCCAGTCTGCAGCTACAATTAAGCTGACGGTAAAACAGCTAAGAAATACACATGGTCGTTCTAAAGTTTGGGGTTTGTAAAGGTTTGTCAGCATATTATCACTATTGATAACATCTGGGAAACAGTTATTGTTTATGTCTTCAAAAATGTCGCTATTTGTGCTTTTGCGGTGTTTCTCTTCTAAACGTTAATGTTTCTCTTTTTCATAGAGCAGGATATTTTAGTATATATCATGTTGTCTATATTCTGGCTGGACGTCTTTTTACATCAGTTACTTTTTCTTTTCATCAGGTATTGCTACGGTTGTAATTCAAGCTGATATGGGTGCACTGGGAACTGTAGGAATAGCTGATTCCAGCAGGAATGTTTTGATTGGCGAGCCAAGAAACGATTACAATGGAACAGCTCTGGTCAGGTAAACGTCTCACCTTCTCCAACCAACAGGTTACTGGTTACTGGATCTTTAATTTTTCACCATTGGCGTCACCAAATAGAATTCACAAAAAAACAAAAACAAAACGGATTTCCTAAACACTGCCCTAATCTGAAGATGAATTGTGTTCTATCAACTGCAGTCTTGTAAGAGGTCCAGGCATCTTTGGTGAAATTGAGATCTTCTGGAACATCACCACAGCTGCAGATCCAGAGTTTGAGGAGACCTCTGGCAAAGTTGTCATGAAAGACCGCCAGTCTGCAGCTACAATTAAGCTGACGGTAAAACAGCTAAGAAATACACATGGTCGTTCTAAAGTTTGGGGTTTGTAATGTTTTTGAAAATCTCTTTACGCTGACCAATGCTCCATTTCTTTGATTAAAAATGCTGCAATGCAGTAATACTGTGAAAACTTATTTGTACTGTGAAATTTATTCTAATTTAGAACTCTTTTTTAATTGTATTTGAATATATTTTAAAATGTAATATATTCATGTGATGGCAAAGCTGAATTTTCTGCAGCCAACACTCCAGTCTTCAGTGTCACATGTCTAATATGCTGATTTGCTGCTCAATAAACATTTTTGTAATTGAAAACTGTTGTTCTACTTAAGATATGTAAACCATCATACTTTTTTCAGGATTTTTTGATGAGTAGAAAATTCTAAAGATTAGATATGGCTTTAGTGTCACTTTAAACAATTTAATGCACCCTTGCTAAATAAAAGTGTTAATTTCTTTAAAAAAATTAAAATCTTACTGACCCCCAAACTTTTCCCATGTAAACTATAAAAACTTCTTAGACTCTTAAAATTTTCAGGATTTTTTGATGAGTAGAAAATTCTAAAGATTAGATATGGCTTTAGTGTCACGTTTAAACAATTTAATGCACCCTTGCTAAATAAAAGTGTTAATTTCTTTAAAAAAATACAAATCTTACTGACCCCCAAACTTTTCCCATGTAAACTATAAAAACTTCTTAGACTCTTAAAACTCAAAGGAAAATTGATTCCCTCTCCCTGTTCCTGCAGGCACTAGATGATGAGATCCCAGAAGAAAGACGTGTTTATCAGCTAAGACTGAGCTCTCTAACCCCAGGCTCAGCAATCAACCCTGACAGACAAGTTGCCACCATCACTATGGCTGCCAGTGACCTTCCCCATGGGCTCTTCTCCTTCTCCCAAGCCTCTTTGCGTGCCACTGAGGAGGACAGAGCTGTGAGACCCCTTGCTTGACATTAGCACTGATGAGACACAAACCACAACCAGAGGACTATGTGTTACTGCCTGTTCCCCTTGACTGGGAAAGTCATTGAAACTTTTTAAAACTTCCATAAAGCAATAGCCTAGCAACCATTGATCCAATGACAAAAAAACACTGGAAAATTTTCTTTATGAAAGTCTTTGTGTCACGATTAATGAACCCAAGGTTTCACAGTGTGCTTATTGAATATAATGGAGTAGTTCAGAGGTAATAAGACTATTTTGAATTAAAAAATGGACACACAGGGTAAGCTCTGGCTATGCAAAGTTAGCTTTGATCATTACAGTTTTCCTAGAATAAATTGTAGGAGATGGGAATGGTGATATCTGTGAACTCATACTCAAAGGTAGTTGATTCTCCAACATTGTCTTGTCTCTTACCAGGTAAACGTGACCATTGTTCGCTCCATGGGTCTGTTTGGCAGCGTGTGGGTCAGTTTCCACACAGAAGGCAGAACTGCGATCAGTGGACAGGATTTTGGACAGTCCTCTGGTCGGCTGCTCTTCAGGCCTGGGGAGAGCTCAAGGGTCATTATGCTGACTATACTCGATGATGACCTTCCAGAAGGACCAGAGGAGTTTTTCCTCAACATTACACTAGTAGAGCTTCTGAATGCCAGGTAGAGTTTAGCCTATGCTCTGAAACCCAAATCATGCGGTAGCTTGAAATAGCATTAACTAGCTGCTTTTATGCATACTGCAAATGTATTTCTTTCAATTTTGTTTTCAGTTCAATGGATTTTACAGTGAGAGAGTTCAGCCTACAAATTGACCAGCCTCCAGCTATTGGCAATCTTTCCTCCCTCATGGTGATCATCCAGAAAAATGACAATGCTGAGGGCATTCTGGAGTTTGACCCCAAATATGTCAACATCACTGGTACTTTTATGCTTTCCTTATTTTTTTCTCAGATCTTTTATGTTTTTTTTGTGTGTTTTTTGAAGAGTCTTTAAAGTCTTTACTTAAAGTCCCCATGAAATCAAAATTAAAGTTTTTTGGGTGTTAGTATCAATATGTTAGTCTTAAAGTTATCTATAAGGCAGTGTGCTCTAAAACAGTGACAACATTTACATTTAGAAGATATAAGCATTCAAAGCTTGCAGTTCGTCACTTCCGACAAAGCGGCTCAACGATTTTTTTGACGTCACATCATACTTCAGCTTCTCATCAAACTTTCTGTCCAATCAAATGCTCTCTAGAATCTGAAGCGCCTGCCCCCTACACTATAAAATAGACGCTGAAGCCGCGGCTGAAATCGGTCACTTGTCCACAGAATTAGTATTTTCTGTACAGTGAATGGCACGTAGTGCACTATATAGGGGACAGGGAACGATTCAAACAGTGCAAAGAGAGACACGATAGCACGGAGCAGACCACAAAATGTATCGGAGCTATTTGAATTGTACACAGAATGCTATATTTTATAGCAATATGGATGAGATTGTGGCTGGCATACCCTGTCAAATGCGGCTTTACGGAGCTCAACGGCTCTGAACGGCTCTAGCCCAAGCTGTGATATAAAGGAACGCTATTGGCTATTTTAAAAAGGGGCGGGGCTGCTTGATATGTCCCGCCCTGTCTTCCTGTTTCAGTTAAAATGACATCAACACATAGAGTAACGCTGCAGGTTTCTAAGCATTTCAGGGGACCTTTAAACATTTATAGGTAAACTTCTGGCCAATAATTATTTTCATTTTATGGATGACAACCGATAAATGGCCAATTTTAAAGAACACATTTTTATTTAATTTAATTTTTTTTAATTTTGGTTTTAATACAATTGTTAGTTTTAAATGTTACAAGTAAATTTAGACATCACAACATTATCATGTACAGTATGAAAAACAGACATCCATTTTGAGAGTTTTCTTTTAATAGTTGTCTCTGCATATTTAGATTTAAAAAGTAGAAATAATTTTTTTAACATCTAAAGAACTACACTAAAATTAAAATGGAATTAAATAGAAATGAAAACTAAATAGAAATATTTTTAAAAAAAGGTAAAAAAAAAGATACTTGAAAATGTTTTTAAATATTATACTAGTATATATATAAAATAACACTGGTATGTCAAAATGCATGATGCATACATATATTTGTTGTCAGTCTCTCCAATTATTTTTATGTCTCAGTTGAGGAGGATGTAGGAGTTCTGTCCATCCCTGTACTGAGGCGTGTTGGATCCTATGGGCAGGTCACAGCAGAGTTTATCTCCAAAGGTTTGACTGCTCAACCTGATTCAGATTACATCCTGCTCAATGGCTCCGTCACCTTTGAGCATGGCCAAACCCTCAGCTATATCAATGTTTCCATAGTGGATGACACAGAGAGGTAAGGATGGGGTTATTAACTTGCTATATATGCTCTTATTAGATATTGGCTGAGTGGTTGAATATTGTATTGTTGATGAGTTTTGTGAACTTGTAGCATATTTCATTTAATCATTTCTTGTCTTCCACCCAGTGAATTTAATGAGATATTTGAGATGCAACTCACCGGTGCCACAGGAGGTGCCATACTTGGAGCTCAGCTAATTGCACGAATTACAATTGCCAAGAGTGACTCGCCAAATGGTGTTGTACGATTCATCAACCAAAGCGCCATCACCGTTCCAAACCCCAACAGTACCCTCAGACTGACCCTGTTTGTAGAGAGAGCAGACGGGCTGCTGGGAGACGCCACGGTGAGCCCCGTCTAGACTATGACCTCACACTTCCAGAGCCATAAAATATCAGTATTTTTTTTTACATGTGGGGAAGCACTTGGAGGACAGACAGACCCTAAACTGGATGTTTCCATTGATTTGTGTGTAATTAAAAATGTGGTAAATGAGAATTATAGAATATTTTGATGTATCATAACATGGTCTGCGAGATGAATACATGATACAGTACAGACCTTCATGTTTCTTGTACATTTTAGTTAGGAAAATAGACAAAAGGATTTTTTGGCAGTCATTTTTCAAGAGTTGATTCAACAGTGATAATGTTGATCATTTTATCTGGAAAATAATACCTATATATATATATATATATAATATTATTATAAAAAAAAAATTTTATGCTAGATTTTGGGTTTCCCCCTTTTTTTCTGTAGCAAGATTTTGATTTGTATTTTTTTTATTCTCTCAAAAAAGGAAGTTTATTTTTCTTTAAATATGCGTCTAAAAGCTTTAAATGTAACGCATTTTTATTGAAAACAAGTGACAAGGCTGAAACGGAACTGTTTTTTTTACAATATTTAAAAATGGCATTAGGTAAGATTTTTGATGCCATTTTAGGGGTCTTAAAGCAATCACCATGGTTTCAATGTGTCCGCTTGTGTCTTTCCTCTTCCACTGTTGTCTCCCTCAGGTAATATGGCAGATTCTAGGTCCAAACTCAAATGAGGTTTTACCATCAGTAAACACAGACATTGGTGAACCAGTGAACGGGACGTTTAGTTTCAGAGACGGGGAAGGGGGTGTACGCAGCATTGAGTTGAAGATCCTGCCTCATGGTGAGGTGGAAGTCATGGAGAAATTCATTGTCATGCTCAGTATCCTCTCCGGAGAGATGGGTGTTGATGCCAGAGCCGGATCTGTCACACTCACGGTATGTCCTCGTCCTGCTCAGCACAGAATGTGATGACCTCTAAAAAGCAAAGAATAAAACTGTAAATACAGCAATGTATCATTTTAGCAATGGTGTACAATGTGTGCGTTCTCTAGATTGAGAAGTTTGGAGACCCCAATGGCATAGTGCAGTTCACAGAACAGGACCTGAAAGAGCGCATTTACAGTGAACCTTCTGACAGCGAAGGACCCCTCAAAATATCCCTCCTTATTACACGCAGAGAGGGCGTCATGGGCAACATCACGGTAGGAAAATAACCGCTAATTCAATATTCAGTATTTTGTTCAAAAGTTTGGGGTCAGTTAGGCTTTAAGATTTTTTTTTCATAACAGCAATAAATTACATTTTAAAAGATATTTTAAATTGTAATATTTCACAATATTACTGATTTAATGTATTTTCAAGCAAATAAATGCAGCTTTGGTGAGAATAAGAGACTTTCATCTAAAAAAAAAAAAATCTTACCAACCTCAAACTTTTCAGCGGTACTTGTAGTATGTATATATTTTGTGTTTTTATGTACTAACATTTTATGTAATGCTCTTTCTAAATGTTCATAAATTGATTTCAAGCCCAATAATTTTTATTTTTTTTATCCCCCAGGTTTTCTGGGAAATCATCAGTGATGCAGACACGTCAGGAGACTTTGCTGCCCTGCAGGGTTCTGTCACCATCCTGGCAGGACAGCGTGTGGCAGAGATAGTCCTCACCCTGCTCCCCGACTCTGTGCCTGAGTTGGAGGAGACATACATCCTCCGTCTAATCTCTGTGGAGGGCGGCGCAGAGCTGGATACAAACCGCAGCAGTACCCGTTTGAAGGTCCGGGCCAATGACGAACCCCACGGGGTGTTTGTCCTTTATTCTCAAAACCAATCAGTGGTTGTTAACGTGGCGGACCGAAGTAGACACCTCATTATCAGTGTGAACAGGCTGGCAGGGGTGTTTGGCAATGCCAGTGTGGGGTACAGAATCGGTTTTACCACCCCTGGGCAGAGTTTTACAGAGGACACAATCACTGGGAACATACTGGTGAAGGATGGAGAACGTGAGGCCAGCATTAGCGTGCCATTTAGTAGCCAGGTGTGTGATTTATTGTATTTTGAATTAAATATGGGACTGTAAGAAGCTAGTTAATCTTAAGGCCCGTATTGATATTTTGCATGTGTCTACTACAGGTGTTCTTTGCGACGGGCTTTAACTTCAGCGTTGAGTTGACAGATGTGACTCTGATTGGCCCCCTGCTTAGTTCCCCTCCCAGAATTCAGTTGGAAGCAAAGCTGGCCGTCGTTTCTGTTCCTGAAGTGGCAGCTAATGCCGAGGTGATATTGCATTCAACACCATTCTGATATCACCACCAGATGGCGCACAATTAATATATTATTTCTGGTTTGCCAATATTGTCTTGTCCAAAAATATTACAAAAGCTGTGGTTGCATCAGTATTTATTTATTTAATTAATATTATATTTATTTTTACATTGTATTTAAAACATGCTTGAAGTGTTGTTGAATGGATATTAAGCAATCTCACAAAAAATGGTCCAGGATGCATTTCACTGCAAAAAAAAACAAAAAAACATTAAAACTTATGTTATGCGTATGTCATAGACTTTTGGTTAGTATTTATTCATTTATTTATGCATTTTATTAAAACATGGCTAAAGTGTCGAATGGGTATTATGGAATCTCACAAAATATGGTCACTCCATATGTGCACTCCAAAAATCAAAAGACAATATAAAACCTGTGTGAGTTTCTCTGTTATGTTGAACATAAAAGAAGATATTTTCGAAGAATGCTGGTAATCAAACAACTGATGGTCCCCATTGACGTTCATAGTATTTCTTTCCCTACTATGGAAGTCAATGGATACCAACAAATTTTTGGTTTTTCAAAATTCTTCAAAATATCGTCTTTGGTGTTCAACATAAGACATAAACTTATACATGTTTGGAATGACATGAGGGTGAGTAAATGATGACACAATTTTATTTTTTGGGTGAACTATTCCTTTAGTTATTATGAAAATAATGTCACAATTCAAACAAACAAACAAATAAATCAATTAATCCTTTAATGCATCATTTTAATAGTCCTAATTTATTATAAATTATTTCTCATGGTACTATAGGTTGGATTTGCCTCTTTGGCCCTGCGTGTCTCAGATATAGAGAGTGGCCAGTGTGAGGTGCTGGTGACACGGACAGGCCTATATGGAAACGTAACTGTGCGATGGAGCGCTGGGTTTCCTCCTGGCCAAACTCCACCAGGCTACCAGCCAGGCGACATCTCGCCAAGATCAGGTTAGAGAGAAATGACTCCATATGTATGAGAAAAATCCAGAAATGAGAAACTGACTCAATGTTAGTCTGATTTTTCTTTTTCTCTTGACCTGAAGGTATGATAATGCTTGCCTACGGTCAGAGGAGTGAGGTGATCTCTCTCAGTGCTGTTAATAACATGTCAGTTGTCACAGCACATGCTGTTTACCTGACCTCAGTAGAGTCAGAGTCACCTGGTGGAGCCCGTTTCAGGTAACACTGTCCTTTTCAAAAACAAAATCCCCTTTCTCATTAACATATCTATATGGTTAGATGTATGTGTTGTATGTGCAGGACTGGTTACACAGTAGCTGAGGTGGAGCCATTAGGATTATATCAGTTTCGTCCTGATTCTCGGCAGCTGGTCATTGAGGAGGATGTGCAGACAATCACCCTCTACGTCCAGCGCCTTTATGGCTTCCGCAGCAACCGTTCCAGCATCTCATACAAGACGTGGCCTGGCACTGCTCAACCTGACAAGGACTTTGCATCGGTAGCAGATGGGCAGCTTCTGTTTGATTCCCGCCAAACATCTGCTGCCATTCGCTTGTTTATTCTTGACGATTCCCTAACTGAACCAGATGAGGATTTTTATGTGAACTTAACCAGCGTGCGTGTTCTCAGTGCCAGTTTGCCTTCAATCGAAGCTCAGCCTCGCATTGTGTCTCAAAATAGCGTTGCTAAAATTACCATCCGTGCTAAAGATGTGGTTAGTGGATTTTTAAGTATAGGGCCAGCAATAATACAGATTTCTGAAGACAGTCAGGAGGGTGCGCCCCAACAGAAGCTTGCCTTAAGAGTACGCAGGTCGGCAGGGCTCACAGGAGTGGTGAGTGCCAAAATCAGAGCCTATGCAGGACTTCGAAGCCCAGAGGTGGATGCAGTCCAGTTTCATCAGGAGCATAACGGCACATGGGCCCTGGAAGGGGAAGACTTTGCCTTGGAGACCCAAACTGTCACGCTGTTGGAGGGACAGAATGAGGTGGAGGTCAGTGTCCTCATACTGAATGATCAGGAGCCGGAGGGGCAAGAGGCGTTCTTTATCTACCTCAGCGAAGCAGAAGGTGGAGCACAGATTGTCAGCGTGCCAGATGAACTGGGGTTCACTTCATTTGCCAAAATCATTATTCTGGGTGAGAATCTTACAGTGCTCAACAATAAGGAGCCAATTCAGGATCTATCTATCTATCTATCTATCTATCTATCTATCTATCTATCTATCTATCTATCTATCTATCTATCTATCTATCTATCTATCTCTATCTACAGTATATGTCTGTGTGTGTGTGTGTGTGTGTGTGTGTGTGTAAATATATATAAATTCAAATGAAATTAAATTGATTATTTTGGGCTGATTATTAGTGCTGTCAGAGAGAACTTGTAAAGACGGTTAAATACACACACTTGTATGTGTCAAAATGTCCGTATTTGCAAGTATCTTCATAAACACAGTAATTGAGGTCTTTAAGTGAAAGCAAACAGCTGAGAAAGAAAACATCTGTAACAGTATATTGGATCTGGGCAGATCTCAAAGTGACAGCTAAATCACTTTTGTAACTTTACTAAGAAGAAATATATATTTAATTTACACATATGCATTGTTTTTGTACATTTGATTATTTTTTACAATGTTTGTAGCATTTCTTATTTGTTCTACTGTAGTTCTTTTTTTGTCCTATTGCTTGTAATTAGTTTCTTAATCTTATTTAATTGCTGACTTTATTTGCCTTCAGTGAGCTTGACGTTTTTTTTTTTTTTTAAGGCTAGTATTAGTTTTTTGTGATATTGACACTGGTGACAATAATTATGAAATTTCTATGGTATCAAAAAATCATAAAGACCTTATTTAAAGCAAAAATATCTATATTGTGATATACAGTATATCGTTACTGTGAAATGAAATAACTCATATTGTGATATAAGATTTTGGTCATATCACCGGCCCCTACATCCTTGCTGAAAAATGTATTCATTTCTGGAAGGAAAAGAAAGAAAGAAAGAGAAATCTTATTGACTCCAAACGTTTAACTGACAGTGTATATTTTTGCTCAGCTACTAATGTTTCTCTGTGACAGGGAGTGATCTTCAGAATGGTATAGTTGGCTTCAGTTTGAGCTCTCAGTCCGGTCAGATCCTGGATGAGGACTCAGAGAACAGGACAGCGACACTCTTTCTGGAAAGACAGGAAAACAGGTATAATACTGTACATGTTTAAGATGATGTTATGCTTGCACTACTGCAAATTAGTGTTACTCAGTTTTAGATATGCATGCTAAAAAACAGTTTTTCCACATGTTTCCAGAGCATTTGAAGATGTGCTGGTGTTTTGGCGGGTCACGTTTAGCGCTACAGTTCACTCAGTGGTCAGTCATGGGGTGAATCTGACCAGAGAGCTGCAACAGACCTCAGGCTCATCTATTTGCAGAAAAGGAGAAGTACTCTGTGCCCTCAGGTTGGAGGTCCGGCCAGACAAGGTGTATTTAAAGCATATTTTGCTTTTTAAACCTATTTTAGAAGTGTCTCTTACCAAACACTTGCATTACATTTTTCAGAAGGTTTTGCTTTGTTTTTTTGCTGTGTGGTTTTGTTTGATTTATTTTGCTTTTTGTTTCTTTTTTTGCACCTTTCTTTCTGAGCTTTCGGTTGTTGGTTTTGTTTTGTGCTCTTTTTTCTTTCTTTTTTACTTATCATTTTTGTTTCTTTTCAGTCTCATTCAGTACTTTCTGTCTGTTTTGATCATGCTTGTTTTTATGTAGTGCTTTAGAGGAATACACTTTTACAGCTTCTCTAATCATCTTACTCATTGTTTTTTGGTCTGTGTACTGCAGGAGCCAGAGTATGAGGTGTGGTTCCTGGTGGAGGTCTATAATGTGGGCGAGGGTGCCACCATAAACCAGACTGCCCGTTTTGCCAATGTCACCATGGTGGAGAGTGATGACCCACGGGGGCTGGTGTATTTCGCCCAGGGCTCCAGACTACCCGTGGTCACCCTCAAAGCCACAAGCGTCAGTCTTCAGGTCTACAGGGATGCCAGTGCAGCATCAACTATCTCTGTGAAGTACCGCATGCAGGTGAGATTCATTTGAAAAAGGAAGCATCTCCCAAGATAACGAGATATTCAATAAGCACAATAATATACCGGATTTATAATCAAGGAGGCATAGAGAATACATATACAGTACAAACTCAGAAAGAACATATGCTTTATTACTTAGTTTATTGCTGAAAATTCAGTTATTCTTATTAATTGCTCATTGGCTGTAATCAAAGAGCAACTGCATGTCCATCTGCCAGTACCCAGCCTACACCCCTCTCTGACCCCATTACATAATGTGACCTCATTAGCGATTAGATGACTGAGATGATGTCAAATTCATGAGCTAAGATGATAAATGTAGAGAAGATAAGAACTATGAGCAATTAGGCCGCTGAGTTCCCAGCAGATACTTCAAAGACAATATATATGGTTGCATTGTAGAACTGGAAAAGTAGGATCTGACATGTCGAATGTGGATTAATGCCCAAAATACATCAGTCTGTGGGAATGTTTTCTCATGCTTTTTTTTGTCCCTCTGGCACACCCTTTCCTTTCCTTAATTTTTTCAGTTTTCCTTGCCTACCGTTTTACTTGTAGGCATAAGGAAATACTTTTTATTTCTGGTATGTTACATATACTTCAAAGGAAAAAAACAGAACATGTATCATCTCTCTGCAAGTTTATAATATCTGAATTTGAAAATTTTAATTGTCCACCTCCATCAAGCTCTGGCTATCTGTTCAGTTACTGTAAAAGTTGTCAGAAATAGATTTTTGGTGTAAATATCAAATTATTAACAGTGTTTTGTGTCATCTGCTCGCACAGGAGCTTCAGAAAGCAGAGTCTATTGGACCCACTCTGATCTGGCCTGCCGTTGCAGGGCAGGACTTTTTCCTGACAGAGGGCACCCTGACTTTTGATATTGGACAGAGAAGTGCCGGGCTGGACGTGGCCCTCACGCCGAACATTGGTTCTTCCAACCCAACACCCAAACGTTTCCGGGTGGCTCTCTCTGATGCCTCTGGTGGTGCACGGGTTCACCCAGAATTCGGGCTGGCTAACATCACCCTGGTTTCAGACTCGGAGGCTCAGGCAATATGGGCCCTGCTGGACCAGTTACATCAGCCTCTGGATGAGACCATCATCAATCGGGTCCTTCAAGGGCTTATTAATAAAGTTAGTAAGGACATCACTCCAGAGCAGCTAACTGCAGTGTTAGATGCACTAAGCAAGGTAAGAAAATGAGGAAAGTGTGTGTGTTTGACATAAACCTTAAGTGTCAACATTTTTTTTTTTAAGTCTCCTAAAGTTAGCTCAGTCTGAAGAAAATCATTTTGAGGATGATCTCAGAATGAGAGTTGACTAAATAATGTCTTCATTCCATTTTAGGATTAAGTACTATGAGCTAATAAAAATCATTAAAGCCATAAAATAAAAACTATATAAGTAAATAAGAAATCCCTATTTACTGTAGATAGCAAGGTAAACATGTCGAAGGTGAAAATTACTTTTTATTTCACTAACACTCCTTTAGCTCCACACTTTGATATGCAGACTACAGTTTAAAGGTTTGGGGTCAGTACGAAGAATCTTACTTCTTAAGTAAGATTTTATTTTATTTTTAAATAAATTAATACTTTTTATTCCACTAGGGTACATTAAGTTGATTAAAGTGACAGTAAAAACATTTATAATGTTTTCGGTTTTTAAAAAAATGCTGTTCGTTTAAACTTTCCATTCATCAAAGAATACTGAAAAATGTAGCAGTTTTCAGCTTTGCTAATAATGTGAAATGTTTCTTAAGGTGCAAATCAGCATATTAAAATGATTTCCGAAGAATCATGTGACCCTGAAGACTGGAGTAATGTTGAGGAGTAAGACAAAGACTAGAGCAAGACTGGAGAAAATACAGCTTTTCCATCACAGGAATAAATTACATTTGAACACATATTAAAATAAAAAAACACATTTTAGATTTTACTGGATTTTTGATCCAACATAAGAGAATTCTCTCTCAAAAAACAACTAACAAATAAACCCAAAAGTTTTGAACATTAGTGTATGTTTATTCAGTAAATGGTTATTCAGAGCCGAGAATTTATTTAAAGTTAGCCGGATCTTGAGCATTTTTTGAGTACAGTGATTCAGGAAATCCAGCTGGTCTACGCTCTGTTTAAAAAAAAATGAGGGGCCACATATTGGCCCCCAGAGATCAATTAACAGCTTTCCTTACAATGCTTTTTTGTTCCTTAAGTTCATAGAAATATTTTATCTTGGGAGTACAATGCTTGTATTTTCAGCCACAAGTCTCCACTGTGTTAAAAAACAAACTCTAGTCTTGGCAACAATGCTTTGTCTTTTCAGTTAATCTGTACTGTTTTATTGCTGGAAGCAGGGTAACACCCAGACAGCTTCACACTATTAGTACTACAATATAAGCAAATCAGGGTTTCTGAGATTTAAACATGGGTTTGCTTTAAGTTCCCTTTTCACGTTAAATAACTGAAAGTAAAATGTCACCGAGTTGCTTAGAAGTGGTTCTTGTTAAAGCCAACATGAGTACTGCTGCTGCTAATATTTGCAATTTTTGTATTAAGGCAGCACCACACACATTTTCTAAATGTGATTCTAAAATTGATGTAGTAGTAGTAATGTCGTTTTAATGGCGTTTTCAGACTTTTTAAAATTACCCTCACTTCACAGATTCTGAAAGACGCTGAGCAGACTCCACTAAAAGACAGCAGCCGTGGCCTAACCTATGACCTCTTGTGTGCCATGGCGAACCCCAGCAGAGTGGACACTCGAGGCCTGAGCCAGCTGGCTGAGGTGGCAGAACGTTTTGCCTTTAGCCTGCTCACAGACATCGAGTGTGGGGCAGAAGGAAAGAGGTAAGATCTATTTATTGTCTTTATTTCATGTTTTTATTCTGTTTTGTTTTAGCTCATTCTTATATGCATTGATTTTGTTTATACTTCAGAGGCACAACCATACTGGATACCTGCCCGTATTTCACCATAGCTGCTCACCACTGGTACCCCACTCAGATCAACGGCCACACATTTACAGGCAAAAACTCAGACACATTCACCCTGCCTGAGAACCTGCTGGAGGTACCAGCCCTTCCAGCAGGCAGCATGGCCCTGTCTGCTTGCCGTAAAGTGCACTTCACAGAGTACAGTACTGAGCACTGGTTCCTCACCAACACAAAACCCAGTGCATTAAATGACAAGGTGAAAGACTGCTTCTCTGTATCCCTCAGTGCTGAACACTGTATTGTTGTGTTTGTTGTAGAAAGTGAATGTAGCTTTTGTCACGCAAGTGTCCAGCAGATGACACTGCTGAGTTGGAAATTTTAAGTTGTCTCCCTTTCATTCTCAGTGTAATTGTGACTGCTACATGGTATGTAGTAGCTACACAAATCATGTATGTGGCTTTCTCTGAATAGGGCATTTATAGTGATTAAAATACACTTGGAATTGGGAAACTGACTACAACTCTATGTGTTTTTTTTATTGTTGAATCCATTCTGAGTAATTGTGTGTGTTTGTGCAGGTTTTCTCAGTCAGTCTTCACGGCAGAGGTTCTAAGCCTCTTGCTGACAGTCAAGAGGTTGTTTACCGCATACACACTCCTGACCGACGTGGAAAACCTCTCCAATCTCTGTGCCTCCTGTGGAATCAGGCTGCCGAGAGGTAATTACAGAACACACACATGCATATAGTTGCATGGCAAAATTTTACACGTGTACAAAGATAGGAGCTCCTTAGGTATTTACAAACTTACTATACATATAACATTCTAATACTCTATATTCATACTTGAAAACACATTTGTGTTTACTTGCAAATTTACTAAAAAAATACTCATCCAAATGAACTTGACAGACCATCTGGTGGTAAAGCTTGTCCTTGTCCATGTATTTCACACTCATTGTTGAGACAGTGCGTACAGTGGAGTTTAAGGTCAGGGCTCGTGACCTGCAATGACGGAAGTCGTTTAAGGCCTGTCTCACACATTCTTTAGGATACGTGTGTGTGTGTGTGTGTGTGTGTGTGTGTGTTTGACCAAGAAAGTTCAGTACGTTCTACAGGGTGTGTTCTTGGCCAGGAAGCCATTCTAGAGGACATTTCATAGCTTTTAGCCTAGACTATTAGCTGTACAGTTTGTCCCTGATTTCTCTCCAGGTTGAAGCTGATGTAAAACAGATCCCTCTCAGAATTATGCTTTAGAAAACAGATTTTATTTTATTTTATTTTTTCTCTTAACTTTGGTACCTTTTTTTTCTCAAATTCATAACCATTTATTATGAAGTTGTGATTTCTTGTAATGTAAATGACACCCTAGAGCGACTAAATGATTTCTTCAGCAAACTAATCTCAGTGGCAGCTTAATAGCTGGAATTCAGAGTAATGAGAGATCATTTGGAATGCTAAATTGATGTGTTGCATAAGTTTAATTTAGATGAACAGACAGTCAAGTCCAATTTAACAGATTTCTGTGTTTCTCCATTGGGTGAAATTTGTTGCACTGAACTTAATCTTAAAATGTCCTGAAAGACTGTCGAACTCCACGAACCAAATTCTCTTGTCACAACCTGAACCAACAGCACACTGAACCTTCATATTCAGTAACAACATTTCCCTAAGTACTAGGAATAATTATGAATTAGAGATACACAATACATCTGTCCAATAACGGCACACAATAATGACAAATTTGAGTTTTTAATGATTTATTTCAAATGTATTTTGACAAATAGTTTGAAATTACATACTTAAAGCATGCATCAAAAAGAGACATTTTGTTTTGTTTTAGTTTGACTTTTGTGCTCTTTTTTTTTGTTTAGTTTGGTTTTGTTTTGTTCTTTGTTTTACATATTTGTGACCCTGAACCACAAAACGAGTAAATGTTTTGAAATCGAGATGTATACATCATCTGAAAGCTAAATAAATCAAAGCTTTCCATTGATGTAAGTTTGTTAGGATAGGACAATATTTGGCTGAGATACAACTATTTGAACATCTGAAATCTGAGGGTGCAAAAAAAATCAAAATATTGAGAAAATTGCCTTTAAAGTTGTCCAAATGAAGTTCTTAGCAATGCATATTACTAATCAAAAATGAAGTTTTGATATATTTACAGTAGGAAATTTGCAAAATATCTTCATGGAACATGATCTTCACTTAATATCCAAATGTTTTTTGGCATAAAAGAAAAATGTATAATTTTTTCCCCATACAATGTATTGTTGGTTATTGCTGTACCCGTGCGACTAATGACTGGTTTTGTGGTCCAGGGTAACTTTTTTTATTTGACATTATACGTGGCATGTCATGATCATTCTGATATGATCTCTCCTGTCCAGCTGGCTATCTGATGGTCAGTTCTGTCATGTGGTGGACGACAGTCAGAATTTTGTGGAGTGCGCCTGTACGCATCTGTCCGTCTACACAGCATATGCAGAGACTACAAGTTTGGCTTCATTCAATGAGGCCTTCTATGCTGCTGGCTTCATTTGTATCTCAGGTAACTCATTACCGTCTACATGATTGTGAGGGTACAAATCCCACCAAGAAATGCATTGCTTGTGCTATTAGAATTATGTACAGTGTATATCTGTATTTTACCTGCAGGGTTTGCCTTGGCCGTTGTGACTCATGTGCTGTGCTCTAGATTCCTAATGTTCGCTGCCAAACTCCTCACACACATGATGGTGGCCTGCTTAGGGACTCAGGTAAGACCTAACTTAACCAGTAATGTGGTCAGCCAGTTAAATTTCCGAAGGCAAACAGCATGCGTATTCTAATTAATCAGCTACACCAACACTAAACCTGCATGTAAATTCATGCTGGTTTAAGATGGTCTGATTTTTCACCGTTACTCCCATTGTTCCTGTAATGTATAAATAAATGTGTCCAGTGTATGTTATGTCAGTATCGTACAGTAACTGATAATGTGATAGTGAGGCTGAAATCCACTTATAATCTGTGCTTGGGAATCAGTATCAGGATCTAGGACGCTGCTCCAAAGATACGTGATACAGCTATGACGTCAGCATGACGCTTTTTGCTGCGTAATGTGGCCTAGTTTACCGGGAGGATGTTTGGCTTGCCGGTGAGCAAAGTAAAGGTACAGTGTGATGTTGCTGAGTCCCAGGAGTTGTGTTAAATTTAGTAAAAGCTGGAAGTAAATGTTTTGTGCGCACTTTGAATGACATGTCGAGGCGGTCATGAAATGTATGACGCATTACAGTGCTTTCTACGTCAGTGACATTGTACTGTAACCTGAATACACAAAGACGTATCAGGAACTACTACAAGAGTCACATCTGTTGAAAACAGTGATTTAAAGTAGATAACGCAGGTTCAGATTAGTTTTGCGTGAATGGACAGGTGTCGAAGGTGTCTTTTTGCACGTATCTCTTTCAGAATAAGCATATTGGGAAACCCAAGAACTTCAGCAAGCCTTTATATTAAAATGCACACAGGTGTACCCATTCAGATTCGGTGTGTGTGTGTGTGGGGGGTGTGGTGGGGGGGGGGTCAGATAGCATTTTCTAAGAAATGTGTCATTGCAGCTTGGGCGAACACATCCAAATGAGCTAGTGTGTTAAACCCTGACAACCGAACTATCCCTGTGCACCCATCCCTCTACAAAGAAGAGGGGGGTCATTTAGTCAGTGGTCTGATACCTGTGGACCGAAGTGGGAATTTTCCACTGGTCCTGCTCACTTATAGAAAAAGAAGAAAACAAACATGGCTCTATTTAACAGGGCTCAGAAAAACCCGGTCGCATTCTGTCATCCGTTAATTGTTTTGCCTTTCTTTACCTCAATGGTGTTGAATGGAAAATTCCAGTCTGGCCATCCCAAGAAGTTATGCGTCATACAGGTTCGGTACCGACAACAGCTGGGCTCATGATTTGTCAAAGGATGTTGAATGGTTATAAAATAAATATCCCCTAGACTTGGAAAAGGAATTGGGCTAAGTCGATTCTGGACTTCTCAGTAAGCACATGAGCATCACTAAGATCTCTGTGAAAGAGTGCATCATTTGGACATTAATGTGTGCTATTTAAGGCGTTATTTATACAAACATCTGATAAACATTGAGTATTTTGAAATGCAACAAAATCATCTTCGATATGTCAGTCTAACATCTGACAGGTTTCAGCAGCGTGTTGGAAATTCTTGAAACAGACACTTTAAAAAATACTTCTTCTAGATGAAAACTGGAGTACCTCACACAAAAATTAAAAGTCTGTCACTCACCCTATTTAACTTTCTGTCTTATGTGGAACATAAAATAATATTTCTATTCTATTCTATTCTCCATATACTGAAAGTCTGTGGCTCCAATGTTGTTTGGTTCCCACTTTCCGATCTTCAAAATATCTTTTACGTTTACTACAGCTTTGGAACAAACCTCTGAATCCACTAGTAAAAATGCTTCTGTTTTTCAAATTGAAAATAATATTATAATAATATTATATCGTCACCATAACAATTTGAGTAAGAAGATTGTTATGGTGACTAAAAATTATTTTCAATTTGAAAAACAGAAGCATTTTTACTAGTGGATTCAGAGATTCATTGCAAATTATATCATCACCATAACAATTTGAGTAAGAAGATAATAATTATTTAATGTAATTTCCAAATTGAATTTATTTTCTGAAATGTTAAATTGTTGTACCAAAGGCATATTGTTGCTGTATTTCTTAGACATTTCAGTCTACACTCTTTCTATAGTTTTGATCACTGATTGACATTTGACTTCAGAATTCATCTATAAAAGTTTTGATCTACGATGCAAAAAAAAAAACAGAATAAGAAAATGTATTGTTATCCCCTTTTAAACCGTTTAATACATTTAGACATAGTTTTTCTCTTCAGTAGCCTCTCTCATCTTAACTACCTGTGTGGCAGCATGTAGGTGAGACAGGTCGACAACTCAAGACTGTAGTTAGTGGAAATTTACCCAGACTAGCTCACCTGGCCCAAAATGTAAATGCAGATAGGGCTGTTCTTATGAGCAGCAGTAACACACATTTAGCGAGGGTAATCAGATAGCGAGCTGCAGCAATAAAAAGCTTTTCGGGAAGGTGGCCTTTAGATTCATATGCATGCAGCTCATGTGTGAGATGTACACAAACACATATGGAGATGCTAACACACATGGACACCCGTGCAGTGGAAGCACACAAAGGCAATGTAGAAGATATAATGAATGTAATTTTCCAAATTAAATTAAATAACCATCCCCTTAATTCTGTGCTGAACTGAATGTCCCAGAATATAGTGAGAGAGGGCAGGGTGTCCCAAAATCAGTTACGCTCATTTCAGCTCAGCTCTGAGAATTGAGACCCACCAGTATCTTATTTATCTGAAGGTTAGAATATTAGGTTCACTTAATGTACCCGGTGTCATGTGCAGCATACAGTCTCTTTCTAAAGGTATTTCTTACCAACTCTGTGTCACTGGGATTTGACTGGGATTGCTCTAGTTTTACAGTACTGAGTGATGCAATTAAGTCTCAAATATATAATGTCTAAATTTTTATTTACATTTTTCCACCTTCTATCTGACTCTCTCTGAGTAAACTAGCTGCCGACTTCCATGTAAAGGCCTTCTTTGCTAGTACAATAAAACACTTTTCTGGTTGTATGCACATAATGATACATCATAGCTCAAAATATATTGTTACTGTGATACTCTGGATGTTTATTTCCACGAAAGGAACATACATTTTTCCTTTTGGCATTTATTGTGATCACATTTGTTTGGAGATGGAGATGGAAAAAGTTGAGTGTGTCATGAGTTACGTATGTTATGAGGCTGCACTAGAGATAATTGTTGGAGATGCATTAATGTCTGCATGATAGCAGCCTAAAATTCCTAGGAAGTCTTTTCAGAGCAATTTGTTTTCGTGGACAAAATGATTATGACTCATGACATTTTGTTCTTGAGTAGTACTATTTCAGTGACTACGATGACGTAATGTTTTATTGATTTATTGGCTGACGTATAGTTTTATCCACAGCATCCACCTTCTCAACTGAAAATTAAGAAATGGGTCAAATATTTTGTGTATCCTATTGTTGTTTTATAAGTGCCTTGACGTTATATTTGCTGTATTTTTGAAAGATTTCTTTTAAGATTGTTTAAAACATGGGACTTCAGGAAATGTTCAAATGCATATCATATACATTAACATTCAAAAGTTTGAGGATGGTAAAGGCTGCATTCATTTGGGGAAAAAAATTAAGCTGCCATTATTTCAGTCTTTAGTATTGCACGATCCATCAGAAATCATTCAGATATGCTGATCTGATTCTCAAGAAGCTTATATGCAATGTTGAAAACAGTTGTGCTGCTTAATAATTTCGTAGAAACTGATATACATTTTTTCATTATTTGATGAATATTTATTTGAAACAGACATGATTTGTAACTTTAGAAAGGACTTTACTGTCATTTTTTTAAATCGGATTATTGTGTCTTTTTCTTTTGACAAAATAAAAATCTTACTGACCCCAAACTTTTGAACGGAAGTGTATGAGCTGAAAGCTTTGATTGTCAATTCCATCTGTGTTAGATGGTATCTGTTGTTTATAATCATCATAGGGCTGGGAATGGAGACTGGATGTGAATAATAATAAGCCTCTTAATGAATACAGTGAGTTTTGGTAATGTTTTAAGTCTTCAATTGTTTACTTTCAGCTGGTCGTGGCAGCTACATTTGAGACAGGGAATGTCCATTCAGTGTAAATCAATAAGCGGGAAATTGACGCCCATGGTCTGACTGACGTCAAAAAGTCTGAGAGAGCACAACAATGCCTGTGAGAAAGTCGAGCTAAAGGAAGCTAATTTCTGGACCTCTCAAAACTCCCCTCTGCCCTCTTCCTGTAGTGTTTTAGGTGTGTGTGTTTGCTACATCTTACAAACACTGAAATACACACATAATTATAAATACACACATACATACTTGCACTGCTTAGTGAATCTAAACAGTTTGATGCTCCCACGGTGCAAACAGATTACAAAAGAAGGCAAAAGGAGGTGTTCAAGAGGCTAGAGTTCTCCACCTCTAATTAAATTGTGCCCATGTCTGTTTATTCGAATGAGAAGGAAGGACATGCTTATTCAGACCAACAGCGCTGCTTTCACAAAGTCTGCCTCAAACTGGATTGAGGTCTATACGCTGACTCAAGGAAAACATAGCAAATAGGATGCATGCAGCGCAGCATTTCATTTACTAAGGGTCGAGGCCTCTTTCTGTAGAGACACATGACAGCTGGGTAATTACTACTAAACTTTGGTGCATATTATTACATCCTATGCCATTTGTGTTATGGATATGAATGATTCTCCAAATATAAAATGTCAGCTTTTCTACACAATCAGACTTACAGTGTTTACCTGTGCAATTATAAAACAGGTGAAAAATCACATCCAAGGGCCCAATGTCACTGAGACTTGGGGAAAACAAGAACACCCTGGCAACCTAATAGTAACTTGCTTAAAACCACTCGGAAAAGTAGGGGTGTGTGATAATGACAAAAAATGATACCTTGACAATGATATTTTATTGATAACGGTAATTAGACAATATTTTGCTGAGCGTATTATTGTGTTGGTATTTTGGCAGGTTTAGGACCACCGTAGACAGCTGACTCCCAAAATATATAAAAAGAAAAAAAACTTTATATATAAACCTAAAATTGCCAGTAGTT